CCCTGAGTTCCAGATGGACACATGCAACTGTCTATTTGACGTCCTCTGGAACATCTACTGCCTCAAACTCCTCATTCTACCCTCTCTCACAATATTCCCACTGCAGTCTTTCTCAGGTCACTGTGAGGCAAGGCCCTCTTTCCAGAGGCGTTGGCCCTCAAACTGTGGATTCATTCTTGACTCTTCATTTTCTCTCATCGTTCTCATTTGACGTATCAGGAGATCACTTCTCTTTACCTCCAGTATGTAACCAGAACCCAACTATGTCCCCCTCTCTACTACTACTCACGTTGAAGACACTATTGTCTGGCCTGGATTATTTTAACAGTCTTCTAATTGGTCTAGACTAGCAGTTCTCAACCTGTGGGTCGCAACCCCTTTGGGGGTCGAACGAACCTTTCACAGTGGTCACCCAATTCATAACAGTAGCAAAATTACAGTGATGAAGTAGCAATGAAAATACTTTTATGGTTGAGGGGCCACCACAACATGAGGAACTGTATTAAAGGGTCACAGCATTAGGAAGGTTGGGAACCATTGCTCTAGACAATAGGTGCAGGTACAGGAACAATTGTGAGGGTGGCTCAGGACCAGGCAGCGTTTCGTTCTGCTGCGATAACATATGGGTTGGAACTGGCTCGACTGCACTGAACAGCAACAGTTGGCCTCTCTCTCTGTTTTTTCACTTGCCCATTGTCTTACCTTTGAGAACAACAACCTGTTTTCAACACAACAGGCAGAGTAATCATGAACGCCTCAGACTGATCATGTTGCATTCTGTATTCCATCTCGTAGCATTATATTCAAGAGCTCCCTTTATTGACATTTAGGGCATCATCAAAGACACTTCTCTTATTGCTTCTGCATGTGTGTGTTTTTAATAGTAACTTCCTATGCAGGTGTACCACGAAGACATTTCTCTAGGATTCTTTCCAAAACACCAATCTGAAATCTCAAATTCCCCTCGGCTGTATCAACTTCTGCTGACACTTAAATTCAATAAATCTAAAACCAAGTTCACCACCTGGCCTGCCAACATTATCTTCTGCTTTTTACATCTCCATTTCTCGGAGTGTACCCATGCTGTTCCCAGTACTGTGTTCTCTACCCCACACCTGACTCCTACTCTGCGAATTCCTCACAATCGATCCAATCAGCCCTTTCTGGTGCCTTATGACTCCGGATCTGGAGTAGTGCACGCCCTCCTCCACTGTAGCCTGCATAATGCTGTTGGATCTCCTTCTGCTCTGGTTGTTAACCATTACCTGTAGTCCTGTCCCGCCTTCCCCTCTGCTTGTTTAAATAATTCTCACTCCTCAACATGGCATATATCTATAATCACTCAGCTGAACTTCTCTGATCATATGAGCCCTCCCAGTTTCCTTGTAGGAATCACTCTGCGGTCAAAAGGAGCCCTGGTGGCCTAGTGGGTTCCATGGGGAGCTGCTAACTCTGAGGCCAGCGGTTGGAACCCACCAGCACTTCTGAGGAGAAAGATGAGGCTGTCTGCTCCTGTAAAGAGCTTAAGTCTGGGAAACTCAAAAGGGAAGTTATACTCTGTCCTACAGGGTTGCTATGAGTGGGAATGAGGACAGTGAGTTGACTTTTGAGTTGCTATTTGAAGGTATCCTGGTGACTCTGTCGGTAAGCATTAGACTGCAAATGGCATAATCAGTTGTCTATGGGAGAAAGAAGTAACTATCCGCTCCCATGAAGATTTACAGCCTTGGAAACTCTATCTAGTGTCACTATGAGTCAGAGTAGACTCCGTCACAGACATAGGGCCTGTTTGGTTTGGGTTTGTTTGTTTATGTTGTGCTGGATCCTGTCGAGTCGATTCCAACACACGGTGATCTCATATGACAGAGCACAGCTGTCCTAGAGTGTTTTACTTGGCTGCAATTTTTATGAAAACAAATAAATTGCCAGCTCTTTCCTTTGCAGAGCCACTGGGGGCTTTGAACTACTAATCTTCCAGTTAGCAGGCAAGTACTTAAGAACTGTGCCACTCTCTAGGAAGTACTTAGATATGGGGAAAGAACATTGGACTGTGGGTTTGTCATCTGAAATTAAATCCTCCCTTTGCCCCCAATGACCTGTATAACCTTAGTCAAGTCACTTTATCAAGCCTGGCTCTCACTTTCCTCGTTTGTAAAACAAAGGGGTTGAATGTACTGATCATTTCCGGTTCTACAATTTTGTGTGCTCATAACTCTGAAGCCCAAATTCAGCCCATTGCATGAGGGGGTTTCAAAAAGTCCATGGAAAAATAGAATGAAAAGATAAGGGGAATTTTCCACAAACATTCTGAAGCCTCCTCACAATTAAAGTATTGCAGTCATGTCTGCACTTTCCATTTTTTGCCACTGAGCTGCAGGACTGTTTTATCTTTTGCTTTTACCACGTTATTTTTCTCCTCTGAAACTTTCATTGCATTCACACACTATTTATTATGGATTTTAAAGTCATTATAGTCATATTTCTGTTCTAAAAAGCCAATTCTTCTATCTTTTGCATTACTTGCTTTTTCTTCTCTGTCTTTTTATAAAAGAGACCATTACTATTGGAAAGATCTATTCTTAGGGATTGTTCATTAAAATTATGCTTGGTCTGATGGTGCCCGGCTATCAAAAGATATAGCGTCTCAGGTCTTAAAGGCGTGAAGGTAAACAAGCAGCCACTTAGCTCAGAAGTGACAAAGCCCACATGGAAGAAGCACAACAGTCTGTGTGATCACGAGGTGTTGAAGGGATCAGGTATCAGGCATCATCAGAACAAAAAATCTTATCATAGTGAATGAGGGGGAGTGCGGAGTGGGGACCCAAAGCCCATCTGTAGGCAATTGGACATCCCCTTATGGAAGGGTCGCGGGGAGATGAGCCAGTCAGGGTGCAGTGTAGCAACGAGGAAACATACTACTTTCCTCTAGTTCCTAAATGTTTCCTCTCCACCCCCTTCCCCAACTATCATGATCCCAATTCTACCTGACAAATCTGGCTAGACTAGAGGATGTACACTGGTACAGATAGGAACTGGAAACACAGGGAATCCAGGACAGATGAACCCCTCAGGAACAGTGGTGAGAGTGGTGATACCGGGAGGGTGGAGGGAGGGTGGGGTAGAAAGGGGGAACCAATTGCAGGGATCTACATATAACCTCCTCCCTGTGGGGTGGACAACAGAAAAGTGGGTGAAGGGAGACATCAGACAGTGCAAGATATGACAAAATAATAATTTATAAATTATCAAGGGTTCATGAGGGAGAGGGGAGCTGGGAGGAAGGGAATAAATGAGGAACGGATGCAAATATTTTTAGAATGATGAAGGCAATGAATGTACAATTGCGCTTTACACAATTGATGTTTGTATGGGTTGTGATAAGAGTTGTAGGAGCCTCTAATAAAATGATTTTGAAAAATAAGATTCTGCTTGGTAAAGGAGCGGCCAGTGAAAAAGCAGATCTTCGTCGAGATGGATTGACCAGGGGCTGCACGAATGGGTGCAACCACAACAATTGAGAGGGTGGCACAGGCTGGCAGCAGTGCATTCCCTTGCACGTAGCATGGCTATGCGTTAGACCTGCCTCGATAGCTCCAACCAACGAGAATTGGTGTAATTCTTGCCTTCTGTGCATAGACCCGAAGGAGTGGTGCTGTTGAGTAAGTGTTGAACTGCTTCACCACAAGATTGGTGGTTCAAATCCATCAACCAACCCTTGGGGGAAAGATGAGGCCTCTGCTCCCATAGAGATTTACAGCTTCAGAGGTGCTGTGTGGGATCACGGCGATTGGAACTGTGCAACGGCAGTGCTTTGGGGTTTGGTTTGGATGCAGCAGAGCCAGGCTCCACATCCAGCCATGCACTTCTTCAAGCACAGTCTCGCTCAGCTGTTGATGGAGGCATGTGTGCTGCCATGGGGCTGAACACACTATTCCTTTGTCAACAACATCCCTAAACACCACTCCTTTTTCAGCAACATCTCTCATGGGCAGAATGACTTTGTTTTTCATCATGTAGCCGTACATGTATTTATGTCTGCATTTAAGATCCTCCTTGGTTTCTTCCTTTTATTCTGATAGAGATGCGAATCCATGCTCCGGCCTACTGGACAAACATGTCAAAGTTAATCCTAAAGCATCTCGACATGTGCTTTTTACTAGCGCTGGCAGAGTTTTAGAAATACAAAAGCGTTTATCACTGTGACTCTGTCTCAACCTTCCCCAGACTGAGGGTTTGCCCTCCACATCATGCATGTTTCTGTGCACAGAGAAAGTAACCTCCCTGCCCTCCAAAGGCTCTAGGATGAAGTGATCATTTGAAAGGCATTCATGTAAAGTCGGTAAGAATGACTGTCTTATAAGGGGCCTCTCTTCCAAGGAAGCAGTTTTCATCTCGAAACTGAAAATCACAGTCTCGTCCAAATTGTTTGCTCTTTCCATGAGCTCAGGGAGCATTTTTGACATAGAAGTGAAGCCAGTGGAGTTAAGATGCTTTAAACCATTGCACCGAGGAGCATGCTCAGTAAAGGGACTAGACTGATAAGAGTGTTTAGAGCAGACATCAGCAAGCTTTTAAAAAAGACCCAGACAGGACTTATGTGAAGCTTTACAGCCCCCACAGCCTTTGCCACAACTGCTTAGCTTGACCCTTACAGAGTAAAAGCTACCATTTAAAAAAGTGATTGTGTTCCAATAAAACTTTATTTGTGAATACTGGATTCAAAGTCATAGAACGTTCATGTGCCAAGAAACAGTACTCTCGTTATTCTTCCAACCATTTAAGATATATATTCCAAAACCATTCTAGGGTCCCAGGCATACAAAATGGGTGGTCTGGTGGATCTGGCTGATGGACCATCGTGTGCCAACCCATGATTTTGGAAATAAAAGTGGAGAGTATTCAGATCTTCCTGTGTGGTTCTCTTCGCAGGATGGTTATTTGATTGGTAAAATTATGAGAAATGACTACAGTACCATTCTCACTTCCTTTGAGTGTTACAGGTACTGAAATTTGATGCCTACTTCCAAGAAGATGTCCCCATGTCGACTGAGGAACACTATAGGATCCGGCAAGTGCACATTTACTACTACCTGGAGGATGACAGCATGTCCATCATAGAGCCTGTTGTGGAAAATTCCGGGATCCTTCAAGGCAAGTTGATCAAAAGGCAGCGGCTAAGCAAGAATGACCGAGGAGACCATTACCACTGGAAAGACCTCAATCGGGGAATAAACCTCACCGTTTATGGCAAAACTTTCCGCATTGTGGACTGTGACCTATTCACACAGGTATGCTATATTAGTTTGGAAGTTGTAGGCTCTGGTGTATCATTCTAATTTATAGAAAGATGTGTTTACCTTATTAGAGTAAGGAATTATCTAGTCTATGTGAATATTATATAGATTAACTTTGTATTTGCGTTCACTGATACCCATCAGCACTACATAGTGATATTTTCCCCCCAAATAATTTGTACATTCCTCTCCCACCCCCCACCACACACACTATCATGATTCCAATTCCACCTTACAAATATGACTAGACCAGAGCATGTACACCGCTACAGATAAGAGTTGGAAACACAGAGAATCCATGACAGATAAACCCCTCAGGACCAATAATGAGAGCAGTGATACCAGGAGGGGAAGGGCAAGATGGGGAAGAAAAGGGGAACCTATCACAATGATCTACATTTAACCCCCTCCCTGGGGGATGAACAACAGAAGAGTGGTTGAAGGGAGACTTTGGACAGTGTAAGACATGAGAAAAGTAATAATAATTTATAAATTATCAAGGGTTCATGAGGTAGGGAGAGGGGGGGAGGGAGGAGGGAAAATAAGGAGCTGAGACCAAGGGCTCAAGTAGAAAGCAAATGTTTTGAGAATGATGATGGCAACAAATATACAGATGTGCTTGACACAATGGATGTATGCATGGATTGTGATAAGAGTTGTACGAGCCCCCAATAAAATGATTTTTTAAAGAAAAAAATAATAATCCGTACATATTCACACAAATAAATATAAGTTCTCATCAGAGCCCAATCATTTGAAAAGAAACCAATTCTCACTCGAGTTTCACGTAAAGAGTAGAGAATGGAGCCACCCCTAGGGTGGGGATGTATGGAGGAGATATCGGGCAGTTGATAAGAAGTTAATCAAGTGCTGGGGGCACAGTGGTCAAGCTCTTGGTATCTAACAGAAAGGTCGGTAGTTCAGACCCACCAGCCACTCCAGAAGAGAAAGATTCGCAGCCCTGGAAACCCTGTGGGGCAGTTCTACTCTGTCCAATAGGCTGGCTATGCGTAGGAATCTACTTGATAGTAATGGGTTTGGTGTTTGAGTTTACAAAAATAGTTCTGCCCATGGATAACACATTTGAGCCTTAAAAAAAGGTGCTAGACTATATTTTCGATAGTATCCCATCCAAAGGCGTGTTGATCTCTCACTTTTTAGAATTCCCCATCAGTTTCAGATCTGTTGTACCAACAGTGAGACATTGTAAGATGCTCAGTGGGAGGTGTTACCTTTATGGTTGTGGATTTATCTTCATAGACGATGTGAATATTTTCAAATAGAGCATCAAGCAGTTGATCAAATCCAGTTATGTTAATGCTTGTTATTTGACTAGAGCTGGTTATATTTGATTATGGGTTTGACTGCAAACCAAAAGTTCAGCAGTTCACACCCGGCACCTGCTACTTGGGAGAAGGAAGAGGCTTTCTGCTCTCCAAAAGACTGACAGCCTCTGAAGCCCAAAGGGGCAGTCTGCTCTGCCCTGTAGGGTCGCTGAGTCAGTTCACAAGAGGCCTGATCATCTGGTTGAATCAAGAGAAGGGAGTAAACTATCACTGATAACTCAACCAGTAATCCTGCTAATCCATCATCTCAAGAAGAAGAGGAGCTCGTTAGTCTTTATCTACTGGTCAGCATTTTGATGGGTGTCATCATGTTTTTATATTGAAAAGATACTGGAAACTTCCTAGTAACACTGACAATATTAAATATTGAAGTGCATATTAAAATCTAGTAATATTAAAATCACAAAATAACTAGCAGCAAAGCTGATAGTAAAGGCAAGTATGTTGATCTTGAGTTCTTTATATTTTCTATTGACTTGTCCTAAAACCAACAGCACAATTCCCAAAAGGAACTGAGACTTTGCCTTAATTGCCATTTTCTGAACGTAAACAAATCCCAGAAAATTATACTTTTCTGTATTGACTATAAAAGAAGGTACAGTTTATTGTGGCATTTTTAAGAAGATGAAGTACCAAGTGTGAAAAGCTATAGTGACAGTGTAAATAATATTTATTTATTCATAATTAACAAGATCATATTAAATTCAGATACTTTCTTTTTTCTTGTGAGAGTTGAGCATCTGATTTCTCTTCGGCTTTGCTGAAGCGTTTTCTGGTCTTCAGTAGTCATATACTTGTTTTAATGAAGTTTCAATGAGAATGGGATGTCATTTGAACGGGGCCATTGTGTTCCTTGCTCCCATACCTAATGTGATTATATCATGTGTTGAAACTATGTTTAATTTCTGGATGTGTGAATGTAAGCCTTCCTAGACTTGCTCTGTAGTTTGGCAGCTAAATAAATTTCATTAATCTGAATTTATATTTTGAACCTGTTGTCATGTCATCATGTCTCCCAGACTCTCACTCTCAATGCTATCGAATCAATGCTGACTGGTAGCCACCCTACAGGACAGGATAGAACTGCCCCTGTGTGCTGGCTGGTGGCTTCAAACTGCCGACTTTTCAGGTTGCAGTCCAATTCATAACCACTAGGCCACCAGGTCTGTCTTCCAGACTAACAGTATATTGCCTAGCAATTTTATAATATGGATTGCATTAACTAAAAAAAACAAACTCACTGCCATGAGTTCCAACTCATAGAAACCCTACTAGGTAGTTATTAATTATGATCTACATGATACAGTTGGGTTAACTGGGGTCTTAGTACTCTTAATACATGTTTAAGCTTCAAGTTAATGGTTCACTTGGGAAGTAATATAGAAATTATGCATTTTTTTCATCATTAAGAGTACTTACCCTAAGAGGATCCAAGAAAGATGGTTATTATTAATTTTGAATTACACAGGAGTTTCTGGAAAGTCAAGGAATTGAATTAAACCCCCCCGAGAAAATGGCTCTCGATCCTTACACGGAACTCCGGAAACAGCCTCTTCGTAAGTATGTGACCCCATCGGACTTTGATCAACTCAAGCAGTTTCTCTCCTTTGACAAACAAGTAAGTGACCAAGCCATTCTGGTTTCCTGTGACATATCTATTTACTGACAAGCTATTTAGATCGATATCTGTTTTCAAATATTCCATCTAGAATTTAAGCTTTTGGATATAGTGGGATAGAAATAGAATACATGAATTATAGGCCAATGAAACTATCTTAAAATTATTATTTTTTCAAGTTTAAAAAATGAAGTAAATGAATATCCAAACTTCATGCTAGAGTGCCACAAAAGATTATGGAGTTAAGTCGTGTGAGTTCTACCAAACTTTAAAATTTTTAAATAATTTCCGAGCTACATCTGTTTCCATTTTATATTTCCAGTTCACCATTTCTTTTGCCCAAACATGAATTCCTCCCATAGAATCTGTGGAGAAACCTTCAATGAATTCTTGCAAAGTTCCTGGAATAAGTAGATACAGACTTCTATTAATAATTTCACAGAAATCTCACTGCTGGGGATTCCCTGCTAGACTTGATTTTGTTGTATAAGGAAGAACGTTCTGGGTATTTTCCAACTCCGTTCCAATCTTCGGATCCTCTCCATGTAGGCTGGCAGACCACCGTCTTCTCCTCTCCTTCCCAAAGGGAGCGAGGAAATGGAGAACATCACTGGCAACTTTCGGAGTCTGTTAGGAACACGACCATTTGGGTCCAGGTCATCTTCCGATCAGTAGCATGCTTTATACGGATCTTTTTATAGCAGTCATACACTTTATTCCACGCATGTGGAGACTAGCTGATACGATGGTGAAAGATGCCTGTTAAATAAGGCTGATTATGAAAGAATATTTTTCCATGTTAATTATATATCAAATACTGCGTATGCCTTTATTAATTCATGTAAAACACTATATAAAGTACCCACTGCTGTTTTGATTCAGCTTCTCTTTTCCCTGACTCATGTTTTGGATCAAAGTGAACTCATCTTTCTTGGCACAAACTTTACAGTGTATTATTTATTGATTTCCAGCTGGTACATAATTTCAATGTTGTTTCAGTGCCACATGAATTGGTCCTTTCCAATCCACCATCTGAGATGAGTTTATAGATTTCCCAACTAATCTTGACATCACTGTCTGATAGAGAAATGTCAAAGTAGCTTAGGCAACCTCTCCACCGGTTTCTTAAGTCACAACTTTGGGTTCTTCAAAGGTTCTCCGATTCTACGCCATCTGGGATGATACGGACAACATGTTTGGTGAATGTCGGTCCTATATCATTCACTACTATCTTATGGATGATACAGTGGAAATTCGGGAGATCCATGAACGGAACAATGGGCGAGATCCTTTCCCACTCCTGGTAAACCGCCAGCACCTGCCCAAGGTTTTGGTGGAAAATGCAAGTATGTTTCATTCAGATTGTCCTCGGATAGTTGGGACCTTTTGTGGATCTCAGAGGAGTTACATAGTCACGTAGGAGGCTCCCACCAGGACCTCTGAGGTGCTCAGAGAACTCCTTTCCCATACATCCCTCCTTACCTGCCCCTTGGTCCGGGCACATCTCAGAGATGGTCTGGTGAAGATGAGTGATACCTAGCTCATGGATGGCAGTGGGAAATTCATTTAAAGTATGGTAAGGCAAGACTGCTAAACTGGAGCATTTTAGTACACGTCTTTAAAAGAGGCCTGTTTTCATTCGAGGATATATGGGCAGCTAAGCATTAACTAACTTGCTTACCTGATGCTGTTTCTCTGCTCAATACTCTCTAAACAGGAAGTTTCTATGTGGGATCACTTGAACTTGGAAAAGGCTGGTATGTGACTCAGAGAGGTGGGGCCATCGTGTCAATGTCTGCTCTTTTGTTTTCTGGTTTAAAACAGGAGTGGGAATGCAACACCCTGCAATTGACATCTGCCTTCCTCCAGTGCTTCCCTGGGATAAGTGGGCTTATTTTTCTCACCAAAAATGTCCTCTTGGTCACATATAATGACATCTCTCCTGCTTGGGTGACTGACACAACTCTCTGAACACTTCCGTTCATTATTTTCTTTTTCTTTTTGCTGTGCTTTTGGAAACTAAGATATAAGACATATAAGGTATTGAGAAAGAGGATTGTCTAGGTGAGAGGTTATAAACAAATTGTCAGCATGCAGGCTAACTTCAGCCTACTCTTAGGTGCTCTTTGGCCTGCACAATGTTTGGAAAAGTTCAGTGTTATTTGTAGTCCAGGTGGCAGAAATTTCTGTCTTTGGGAGAGTAAATGGACAAAATCTGGAGGCAATATATCTTGTTTAACATGTTGTGGTAGTTAAAGCAATAAACTAGATATGCACAGGAAACAAATGGGTTGATCTTAAGAATATATAGTATATCATATAATATATAATCCTGAGTATAAAAAAAGAAGTAAATTGAGATGCATATGCTCATTGGAGTCAATGCCACATAACATATGTGCCCATAAAACTGAACACAGTCCTCAGAGAGTTAGGAATAGAATTCTCACATGACCCAGCAATTCCACTCCTAGATGTACACCCAGAAAGACTTGGCAGCAGGCATTCTGATGATGGTACACCCATGACCATTGCAGCATCATTCACACCAGCCAAAAAAGGGGAAACGGTCCCCACTACAGATGATGGATAAACAATGACCAGTAGGTCATTAAGACAGTAGGTCAAGAAGTATTGCTACAAAAGGAGAAACCTTTATTCACTCAAAATATCAACGTGTGAAAGCCTTCTTTCTCCACATACCCTTCATCGAAGTCTACATCCTTCTGAAGGAGATGCCTGCAATTTTCTAACCTCCCCAAAGAATGCTGTATCCTTGGATTTACATGGTGTCAAAACAGCAGTTTGGGCATCCTTAAGGAACACAAGTAATATTCCTTTTAAATGTTCTTTGAGTTTGGGGACCAAAAGGAAAGCTGAAGGGACAGGGTTTGGGATGTAGGGTGGATGGGGTAACATTTTCCAACAAAATTCTCACAGGACAGTGCTTTCGACCCGTACAGACTACGCAGGTACATTGTTGTCAGGAAAAAATATATCCTTGATGCACAATCCTTTCCTGGCCTTTTTCTCACCAATGCTGCATACAATAGTCTTAAAAGATCTTTCTAATAAGCACATGTGATGGTCTCCTGTCAGTTGAGAAAGTCCAGCAAGGTTCTCACTGCCATCGAGTTGATGCCAACTCATAGCAACCCTCTAGATGACGCCTGGAGAACTCCAAAACCCAGTTACCTAAGCTTTGGAGCTGATCACTCTGCCTTGCATTTAACTCGCCCAGCAGATCCCCTCAGAAGCCACTATCCTGATTGGACATTAAAAAAAAAGAATTCTAATGAGACTAAGAAAAACCTGGTCGTCAGCCATTCACTAACCACACAGACGCGTTCAGACACGTTGTGTTTGGAATAAACCTAGAGTGGCTCTGAGTTGGAACTGACTTGCCCACATGGGACAACAGCAGGAGGAATGCCCTGCAGCCCTGGTAGGGATGCCCTGGTCTGGTGGAGCTTGATTCACCTGAAGTGGAGCATCGGTCTGGAAAGAAGTACAGCCGGAGCATGCCTCTGAAGCCAGGGAGTGAAGCGTCTTGTCTCAGGCACTGTTGACCAGCCATCTGGAGACAGCCATCGTTCTTAGCAAAGAGGAAGACCCTTGATGAGATGGAATGGCGCAGTGACTGCCACAATGGCTCAAACAGCAACAGGTGTGGGGACGGCGCAGGGCCAGGTGCGATTTTCTCCTGTTGGACACGGGTCTCCATGGGTGGAAACTGACTGGACACCACCTACCAACCGCACAGAGAGATGACGTTCTGAGACGTGCCGCTCAGTGGATTCCATGTGCTACGGAGGACAAACAGTTTATGGCCTTACTTATAAGACAGATCTAGAACCTGCAAATGCCTCAAGATAAAAATGGATGAGTGTTTGCCAGGCGTGTTGGGGAGGGGGAAAGGATGCTATCTGTCTGTTGAGAACGTCTGGGAAGTGGACCATGGTGGTGGCGGCTGCACATCACGGTGCATTACATGTAAAATCTTTAAAATGGTCCATGTTTTGTTGTGGCTTCTTTCTGTTACCACAATAAAATCATAGAATCACAGTACACATGCAATCAAGCAAAAATAAAAAAGAAAAAAAAGGCACACTATCATGATTGCATGCCCGAGCAAGGAGATTAACGTAGGGAAAAGAGGCAAAGGGAAGTAAATATTAATTTATATGATTTTAAATTTAGGAGAGTTCACACACAAAAATGTAAGTTTCTTGGCTTTCTTGAGTGAATACAATCACTGGCCTTGCATTCTCAGACAGAAACCACTAGAGCCGTGCCTTAGCTTCCCATGGTCTGGCTGCTAAGTGCTCTCTGCCCCCACATTCCCAGAGGTCCATGAAACTGGCACTAATGTTCTAATCTTAGCCTGCCACCCAAATGGCTGAGTCCCTTTGAGACCTACGACTCTCTGTGTTGAAGTATTTTAATTCTTCCTCTCAATATAGTAGCTTCTTGTGCGCATCCATTCTCAGATTAGTAACTCTGGGTGATATTTGGAGCTGAATATGAAGGAAGACCTAACAAAAGCAGTCTCCATCCTGTTGACAGACAGAAACCCAAGTCCTCAGATTCTTTAGGGTACAGTCTTCATTCTCTGACCAAATAAAAGACTGTCCTCACTCAGGTTCTCAGGAGTACTTGCCTCCCTTAAAGTATCCGGAGCCTCCCCTCTTACTGTAGACCAGGGGTGTGCATGGCCTTGCTACCACGCAGAGTACGTTGGAAAGTGGATTATTGCAGATACAGGTCAGTTAAAATTCAACATCCGGCCATTTGACCTCCCTGAGGGCCTGCGTTAAAGTGTTCTCGTTATCACTCTCTCCTGCGTCCTCTTCGATTGAGGTTTTCTGAGTTATGCTTCGTCATTGTCGGTGGTGTTTTCGGTTGGTTTGTATGTTTTTCTGTGTTTGAAGTCAGGATAGGTAAGACTAAAGAAGCAGTAACTGGATTAATGGGTTTTTGCGTGTATGGCAGGAGAGACTGGGGGGAAATGGGAGCGAATAACAATGAGCACAAGAAAGAAGAGAATGTTCTAACACTGATGATGGTAGTCATTGTACAACGCCTCTTAATATTTGTGAACTATGGGATTATAAGATAGGTGAATTAGGTGTCAGTAAAACGGCTAGGAAAATAAAGAACACCTGCCTCGCCCATGCACTCACTCGCGGCTCTACTTTCTGCCTCCTCTATCTGACTTTAGAGAATTTCCCGCAGTGCGTGCTAGAAATCTCTGATCAGGAGGTGCTGGAATGGTACACTGCCAAGGACTTCATTGTCGGGAAAACGATCACTATCCTTGGGAGAACGTTCTTCATTTATGATTGTGACCCGTTTACACGACAGTATTACAAGGAAAAGTTCGGCATCGCGGACTTACCACACATTGACGTGAGCAAGAAGGAACCGCCACCTGTGAAACAGGTAATGGGGCCCTCCTGTGGGCAGGGTCAGAGAAGTCATCTTGCGGTGGAGAAACTTTGGGGGGAAATCCAATCAAATTAGAAAATGGACAAAGCAGGGCATCCGAGGAGCATTTGCAAGGCCTGCCCAAGCCTGAGCTCAGCCGGTTCGGCATGCCTGCCTCAGCCACGTCCTGGCCCAGGGTCACCGCCCCCAGGGTCACGCACCCCCCGGCCCCTCCCCGGTGTCATTCTGAGATCCCACACGTGCTTGCCCCAGTCAAGCTGCACAGCGCAGGTGCCTGGGAGATGCCATGCGCAGCAGGCAGTTCTGCCACAGGCTGCCCACCTTTGCCCTCAAGTTGCCCGATTTGCCAGGAGCTGTGTTGCAGCAGCAGCAGCGGACCACCTACCGCGAGTGCAGCAAGACCCAGGGACGCATGATCACGGAGACAGAAGTGCTCGAGTGTGCCTGGGTTCTTTCCAGCACCCCCGCTGTCCTGTGGCTGTGGGCAGAGGGCCAGGCTGGAGTGACGCTGACAGTCACACCAGCGTGAAGGGTCTGCTAAACAGCAGGCCTCAGGGCACCTCCCACTGCCCTGGCAACAGAGGAATGGTCCCAAGCAGCTACCTGGGGATGCCCACACCAGCAGGTCCATCCCCAGCATCCCCAGAAGAAGCCCCAGGCACCACCAGTGACTCTTCCAATGAGATGCCACTGTAAGCTGATCTGTGCATCTTTCGCTGGCCACTTGGGTGGTTTCTCTCTTTTGGGCTATTGCGGTGAACACCGGTGGACAGATGTCTGTTTGGGTGCCTGCTTTGAAGCCTTTGGGGTTGTCTGTAGGAGTGGGATTCCTGCGTCCTGGGCTAATTCTGTGTCTTGTTTAGAAGAACTGCAAAACTGCATCCAACTGTGGCTACACCGGTTTACACCCCACTGCAATACATGGGGAGTCTCATCTCTTCGCAGCCTGTCAACACTGGTTGTTTTCTGGTTTGTTTTCTTCTTATAAGAGCCATCCCCGGAATATGAAGTGGTCTCTGAGTGTGGTTTTGAAATGCGTTTCTCTAATAATGACAATGAGCAACTTTTCCTGTGCACATGGGCCATCCTCTCTTCTTGGGGAAACGTATGCTCACATTCCTTTCCTATTATTAAATGGGGTGGTTTCTTTTTTTTTTTTAACAGCCTTATTGACATACAATTCACCTATTGGATATTTCAATAATTCAGTCATATTCAAAAGAATTGTATCGTCATCACCACAATCAATGTTAGGGTATTTCTTACCTCCTGTGTACACCTTGTTGTTAGCGTCCCAGTTCCCGACAACCCCCCTCTGTCATGCCCCTCAAAACTCACTGGTTGAGTCCATCCTGAGCAGTGACAGGTGGTTTCCAACTGCTGACCTTACACTGAGCAGCGCAACCACAAGCCAGCATGCCACCAGGGTCCCTTCCATCCCCCGAGGAAGCTATTGGTCCTGTTGTTGTCTCTATTGATTTACCCATTCTGGGTAAATCATAAATCATATATGCATAAAACACACAAAGATCAAAACCAACCCAAACAAAAAAGCCCAACCACAATGAAAGCATACAATATTGAAACGTACATTGGATTGAGAGAGAGACCAAATGACAAGCTGTCACATTTTAACCTAGCTACAGTAGTGGTGGTCCACCCTCCAGTGCGCTCTGTCGATAGCAAGGCCATTCCCATGATCTAGGGGTATGCACTATGTGTGTGGGTTGTCTTTTGTTGATTTGTAGTGGTCCTTTATAAATTATGGATCTTAAACTCTTATCAAATATGTTTCCCAAATATTTTCTTTCATTCTGTAGACTGTCCTCTTATTTTGTTGTAAGTCCATTTATGCATAAAAGGTTTTAATATTGGTGAAGTCCAATTTTTAAAATTTTGTCTTTTGTTGTTCATGCGTTTAGCCTATGACGCTATTGTAAAAGCAAGATCTTGAAGTTGAACGCCTATGTTTTCTTTGAAAAGTCATGTGGCTCTAGTTCTTACATTTTACTCCATTGATAGCGTGTTGGTTTATTCTCTGCACGGTGTGAGGTGTGGGTCTAACGCTGTCCTTTTGCATGTGGACATGATTTTCCCAGCACCGTTTGTCAGAGAGTCTATTTTTGCCATGGACTTGGCACCCCTGCCAAACAGTAACTGGCTGTAAATGTATGATTTTATTTCCAGACTCTCAATTCTATTCTATTGGTATTTATATTTAACTATATACCAGTATCATACTTTTTTGATTACTACTGCATCATAGTACATTTTTCAATTGGTAACTATAGCTCTCTTACTTTAATCTTCCAGATATGGGTCAAATATTTCAGTTTATAGCATGGATAGTCTGAGATAAGTACTTTAAGTAACATGCCCACCATCACATTGGTACAAAGATCATTCTATTGAATGACAAACAATCTTATAATGAATGGGTTTTACCTAATCAGTACTTGAGAAAGTAGGATGGAGAAGGATTGCAGTTTAGTGGTGCGCTTTTCTTAGTGAAAAGACTTTGCTCCATCTTTGGACCAGATGAAAGCTTTGATTTGTAGACTATCTGTGATGCCTACTGCATTACAATGATCTTTTTCCTCCAAACCTACCTTCTTGGGGTGGGGGTGGGGGTGGTTGGGGGAGAAGCCAGAAAGAAAGAGAAGAGAAAGCTTGGGTAAAGAGCAGAGAGGACAGAAGCATTTTTGGTTTCTTTGTTTGTTTTGGCCAGTCTCAGTCACTCTGTGAAATAAAGCCAAATCTAAATCCGTACAGATGGCACATTAATCATAGCTTTTGGTCAGTTCATTTCCCGTAAGTCCTCCACAGTAAATAATTCTACTACAAATATGGAAGTTTCTCTATGGAAGTCTATTCTCCACAGTGAACAATTCTACTGCAAATATGGAAGTTTCTCTGTGGAAGTCTTTGTCGGTGATAAGTAGAAGAGCTCCACCGACCATATAGCAAATGCCTTGGTCATTACCTCAGCCATTTTAACCCTGGACCAATTAGCTTGCAGCCAGGCCTGGGAAGCTATAACAGAGACTGGAAAGATCCCTGACCAATGGTAAGGGGAAGAGGAAGATATGAACTGGCTACATTCATGAAGCAAAACACAACTAGGTCAAGGTGGGCAAGCTGACCTTCTATATGAGAAATAAATAAATAAACATGCATACAATGATCAGATGTGTACCCTCTTAGCCTGGTTCCATCTGGATGCACGATGGTAGGAAAAGGTAGGAGAACTAATCTGCTCTGGGGCTGACCCTAAAAGCTCTGCTCAGGAGTTTGGATTCTGTGTCTACGAGCTGTCTAGAGAGCCTGGGTGGAAAATCTAGGGGAGAGTCACATGAGTATTTGGACGACCGTAGTCAGATGAGTAGCTCACCTAATTTAGAACAGGACTCAGATAGTAGCTTGGAGTAAGAGAAGCAAGGGGGTTTCTAGCACCCTAGACATATAGACTGGGATTTAAGGAAGGTCTTCATTGCAGGTAGAAGAAATGAAGTGTGATTCAGGAAAACACAGCTATAGGACTTATCATAGATTGAATGCTGTCTCCCCAAAGTGGTTGTTCTCCAATTTGTGATCCGATATAATTATCCTCCATGTTGTAATGTGTTGTAAATCCTAACATCCACATGTTGATTCGGGAGGATTAGTGGGTGGTGGGTCTGGAGTCACCAACTTCTGAGAAGGTATTGCTCAAGTGCTGCCCTTACTCAAGTCATGCGTTTGCTCGACCCCCACACAAGCACGGGCGAAACAGGAGGGACATCACTACCCCCAAGGGAAAGCAGCTCGGAGCAGTGTATGCCCTCTGGAACTGGGGTCTCTGTGCTGAGAACCTCTTAGTCCCAGGAGAAAACTGATAGGAGGACCCATGCAGATCTCCATGGAGTGCCAGGCCACTGATGTTGAGAAGAGATGGGGACCTTCCCTGGAGCCCACACAGAGAGGAAGTCTTCCCCTAGCGCTGGTGCCCTGAACTTGGACTTCCAGCCTCCTAGACTGTGAGAGCACCATTTCCATTTGTTAAAGTCACCCATTTGTGGGGCTTCTGTTACAGCAGCACTAGAGAACTAGGATAAGCCCCTTCAAATACAGCAATAATTTGAGAGGAAGGCCCAGAAGCTTTCCACAACTTCCCTGTCTCAAACCCCACCACCACCACCACATGCCCACCCCCAGATTCGACTGCTCCCAGGGTGTGTTGTGTGGGTGCAGACCAAGGTCAGGTTCTGCCACCCTGCCGTTCCTGCCAAGTCTACAGAACTCAAAGACATAGAATGAGGTGCTCTTAGCCTGACCGTCCCTCTGTCCATGGCAGCCTGTGTATTTATTGAGAAGTGGTTTTGCACTGAGAGTAAATTAAGCAATCTGTTGGATCCACTAGTCATCTTCCAGTAGTGCTGATCAGTTAACTCCAGCCTTGGAAGTGGGTAATGGGTCAGTGTTCAAAGAAGTGTCCTTTGTGGAGGAGGCGGGAAATGAGGAGCTGATATCAGGGGCTCAAGTAGAAAGAAAATGCTTTGAAAATAATGGCAGGAGTCAGAGAAGAAGAACCCTGCTGAGGTCTGTCCAGCCTGGACGAGGGATGGGAGAGAAACCTTTGTGTCTGAAGGACTTGCTTTCAGGCAAGCAAATCTTAGCATCTACAGTGATGTTCTCATGACACCGTAAGGAACCCATACACTCGTCTGATGCTTTTATGCTATCTTACCAAGTAATCTTTGCATCTGAAAAATGGTTTCTGAAGTGTGCTGCTTCCCCAGGGAAGGGTCTGCGTGATCCTGAGTCCTCCCCTCCCACAAAAAAGTATGACTTCCACCCCTTTTCTGTGAGACAAAAATAAATAAAAGGATTGAAAATATGGAATTAAACATGAAAAACAACAGCAGGAACCAAATCCTGATCACCCTGTCCCTCAGCTCCAGCACACACACACACCCCCCCCACACACACACACACGGAGGGAGGTAGAGGAAGAGAGAGAGAGAGAGATTAGTTGAACTAAGAACAATGTCTCCGGATCTTTCAGACTGAGGCAAAGAGGTCACAGGCAGACCCATGGGCTTCCTGCAATGACCACCTAGGCCAAGGTTGGATGCGGGTGAGACTAGGCAAGGGCATCAGCATCAGCATCAGCAGTAGTTTCTACCTTGGCTGGGTCATTCTTTTTAGTAGGATCACATCACTTGCCACATCTGTGATCAGTGAGTATAATATAAAATGCATAAATCAAAAGGGGGAAAAATAAGTAATGTGATATTTTTTCTAACTACACTAGTGTACATAAGAATTATTTAGAATATTTTCTAGATCTGAATGTTTGCCAGAGGGTTTTTTTTTTAAGAGTCGTCCAGCGAACTTGAATGGAATTTTAATGTCATCTACTTTGCTTCTTACTTCCCTCATGTCCCCAGGAGTTACCTCCCTATAACGGCTTTGGACTCATTGAGGATTCTGCTCAGAATTGCTTCGCTTTGATTCCAAAAGCTCCCCAAAAAGATGTCATTAAAATGCTGCTGAATGAAAACAAGGTGCTCCGCTACTTGGCTGCAATGGTAAGACTCGTTCCTGTGCACACAATTCTGTCTTGCCTCGGCATAAGCCATCCATTCTGTTGGTAAGCTGTAGCAGAGAACCTCTTAGAGGGATGTAGAGTTGCTCAAGGGGTCATTTGATGGAGTCACCAGCCCTTAGACAGGTTAACCCCAAACCCAGCCCACTGCAACTGAGTTGATTCTAATTCCGAGTGACCCTAAAGGACAAAGTAGAACTGCCCCACGGGGTTGACACGGCCGTCAGTCCTTGCAGATGCAGACTGCCTGTCTTTCTCCCACTGCTGGCCTTTGAGCTGAGTGCTGGGCCACTGGGCCACCCTTGGGGTACCCTGAGTCATCACCAATCTGTAGTCCTATGTCCCTCAAGAAGCTTTCTGAGATCTTTCATCTCTTTCCTAAATTGTGACAGGCTGACTTTTTTTTATAGCATTATTTGTGTACTTGTGTATTGCCTTTATAGTATATGGTTTCTTTGAGGGTAGGGATGATAGCTGCCTCGTGTTCAGCAATGCCTGTGATCTCTAGCTTGATAGACATTTATGCACAATAAATTCAATAAAGGAAATCATCGTGGTTTAGCAGATAGTCCAATTGAGAGGTCACACCACTAGCAGTTAAGGGCATGGGATTTGGAAATTCAGAGGTATAAATACAAACCCTGCCTGTTCTGCTGATTAGTTGCATGATCTTGGGCAAATTACTGATTGAAAGTTAAAGGATAATGTGTAAAAATTCCAAAAATATGAAATCAGAATAGGAAATATGGACATCAATAGCAGAGATTAAAATAAGTCATTCCCTTCTGACTTCCAGGAATGGGAATTAGGAATGGGCGGTGTGGGTCAAGTGACTTTTGGAACTAGACACATATTTTTAAAAGTTAAATAAAAACACAGATGACTAATATACTTTCTTTTCTCTGGCGATCGTAGTTGGGGTGGAGGGCACTTGGGGAGCTAAGTCTGAATAGGTCGACTAATAGATTCAAGCACAATGTGAAACAAGGCCTTCACTAGGAAGGGGTTCCAGCAAAATCAGGGGAAGCTGGTGGCGCAATGTGAGTGCTTGGCTGTGAACCTGGAGGCTGGCGCTCATACCCGCCAGCTGCTCTGAGGAAGAAAAGACCGGGCAATGCTGCCCCTGGGGAGCAGCACTCGGCAATTCTGCTCTGCACATTGAGACACCATGGCACCTAATAATAATAAAACTAAGAAAACACTGCCATCGAGTCGCTGCCAACTCATTGTGACCCTGTCGGACAGGGTAGAACTGAGTTTCTGAGACTAACTTTTCTTTACCAGTGGGGCTGCTAACTCCAAGGTCAGCAGTTCCAAACCACCAGCTGCTCCTGGGGAGGAAAATGAGACTTTCTACTCCCATGAAGAGTTACAGTCTTGGAAACCCACAGGGGCAGTTCTACCCTGTCCTACAGGGATGCCATGAGTCAGAATGGACTCAATAACAATGAATTTGACTTTTTTCCCCTAAGAATTCTTATGAATGAAAGTTTTGGAATACTAAGTCGCTTGAGTTACTATTAACATTTAAGAAGCTTGTTAAATTATGATAACTATAAACTTCTAGGGGAATTTGAATGTAAATCATTGTAATTGAATGTAAATGCATTCATTCACCCGTTCAATAAAGAGTTATTGAATATCTACAATAGCACATTGTTGAATGGGATGAATTCCCTTACAAACACACCATCCATGAGGGAAGTAACAAGCTGCACCCATTTTATGATTCAAAAACTACCAGGGAGGTTAATGGACGTGTCCCAGGTCTCTGTGCCGCTTGGGTGGAGCAAGGACTAGAATGTAGCCTTCTGACCTTTGACAAAGTCAACCCTCCAGTCTTCTATTGCTCAAAATCCCAAACCAGAATATATCAAGAATCTCTCAAGTCCATAATAAAAACAAATAAGAAAGTTGACTCGGAATTTCACAAAGGAGAATATACAAACAATGGCCAATAAACATGCACGTACGAAAGGAGCTCAATCTCTTTAGTAACCAGAGAAATGGAAATTACCACCACAATGTGTTACCTCTACCTGCCCATCAGAATGACCAGTCTGTGGATGTGAAGCACGCCTGTAGTGATGCTCACACTTTCCCTGATGCTCCCGCTTCAGAAACAGCTTCAGCAATCAGAAACATTGGTGCACAATGCATGTGCACCAAGCACAATTGATAAATGCTGGAGATACGAATGTCCATCTGCAGGAGACTGGCTAAATTGTGGGATGGTTAGATAATCTGAATTCTATTCCGCAAGTAAAATTAATGAGCAATAGCGTCAGATAACAACAAAGATAAATCACAGATATAGAACCTTGAATGTAAGAATCTAGAAACAAAAGAATATATATTCATATATAATTCCATATATATAAAGATAAAATCTATACAACCAAGTACAGTGTTTAGGGGTGAGTGCTTATGTGTGAAAATTAAAGAAAACCATGAAGTTTAGGACAATGGTCTCTTTCATGGTGGAGGGCCAGAATGTCCATTGGGAAGGGCTCTCTTGGGTCCTGAGAAGTTGTGTTCCTTGAATGGACACCCAGTGACCCTACTGGGTAGGGTAGACCTGCCCCTGGGAGTTCCCAAGACTGGAATGTTCACAGAGTAGAGAGCCCCATCTTCCTCCTGCCAAACAGCTGGTGCTTACAAACTGCTCACCATGTGGATCCCTCCTGCCCCGGCTCAATACATAACCACTACCCCCCAGGGCTCCATCTGGATCTCTGGGAGGTGTCAAATGGGTGTTTACATTATGATAACTCTATGAGTTGCTTTTATCATTTTCTCTCTGAGAATAATCAAATATAAAAATAACTTGCTGCCATTGAGTCAGTGACAACTCATAGCAACCCTATAGGCCAGGGCAGAGCTGCCCCTGTGAGTTGCCAGACGGGAACTCTTTACGGCAGTAGAGGGCCCTGTCTTTCTCCCAAGGAAGGACCAGCTGGTGGTTTTGAACTGCTGACCTTGTGGTTAGCAGCCCAACTTGTAACTACTGTGCCACCAGGGCTCCTCTGTGTCTCATCGTTTGCAGTGAAAAAAGTTTTAGTGGAAAGGCAACAGAGGTACCAGTAACTATCTTCCTGCAACCAGGGAAACAATGATCTTTTGGTTCCAATGATTGTGCAGTGCTTTTCCCTGACCTTTTTTGATGAAATCAATAAGCCAGACTACTGCCAGCGAGTCCGTTATGACTAGGGGTCACAGTAGAATTGCCCCTTGGGATTTCCATGGCTGTGATAGCTTCCAGGAGCAGAAAGCCTCAGCTTCCTCCCGAGGAGTCACCGGTGGGGTCAAACTGCTAACTACCAGGTCAATTCATAACCCACTATGCCACCAGGATCCGCTATTTGATGAAGGAGAGCAGAGCTGTCAAACTGGCGGCCCCTGGGCCACCTGAGGCCCCCAAGGTAATTTTTTGTGGCCCGCGATGCTCTGAAATAAAATGAAAATAGAAAAAAATTGTTATGAAGAAAATAGCGCTTAGGGGAGATGGAGGCAATACCATACACACAATTCCCTCGTCAACCCTTTAACTACTGAAGATGAATATACACGTGGCCCCGTGCCTTTCCTGGGGGCCTGTGGACGTGTATAAACGCACTCAGTTCCGGCGACATTTGGAAGTGATATGTCTGCCGTGCTCAGTGTCATGGCATGTAAACAGTCCCCAATAGCGAAAAGGTTAAAAAGAGCACTCTGGGTTGTACTGTTACGGATCATACCTAGCGGCAACGCTAGTTAACATTTTTTTAGAGGGAAGCCTTTGCGATTGTGCATCACGTTTGTCAGCTGTCCAACATTTTGTAGTTTTTATCAGTTACTTTGTTATCAGTTACTTTCCAGTCACAACATAAGCGGTAAGTGAAAACTAGTAGGTGGAAAGCACTGGTTTCGGGTAAAAAAGAATAATTTTAGTTTTATAAATACATTAAATAAAATAAATGTTTAAATAAAAGCAATTATACAGTGTTTTAATTATCCTGTCCATATTCCCGAATCCTCCCTTCAAAATATAAATTTGACAAAATGTGTAAATGTGATGTGGCCCGTGTGAACCTTGCTTGTTGCACCAAACGGCCGGCGTGTTCACTGAGTCTGACAGCCCTGAAGTAGGGCATTGACTCACTGGGTCTATCAGGAAAGCTCTGGAGGAAGAAAAAGGAGTCCCTGATGGTGGCGACAGGAGCTGAAGAATGTGCCGTAGACTTCAGAAGAGAGGGGCTGGTCCAAAAGGAAAGGAGTGTTCTAGAAACACGGCCAGAGACAAGTACAGTGACGCGACGTTCTGTTCCACTCACACAGAGGCAGTGGACGTGCTCTGACAAGTGAAGCACACACACTCCGCATCCACTGTCTTTTTACCCCACACTCACACTTACAAGAGCCACACATCTGCTCTCCCACTGCGTTGCATATTAATGACTTACGGACTTACGTACGTGCGGCAGCGACAGAACCCGAGGTGCAAGTCAAGAGTAATGCCGGCGGTGACAGTCAAGACTATGTGTCCATTTGCCTGGGCCATGATTCTCGGTTGCTTGATACTTCTGCATGATATAATTTAGCAGTTATATAGTGAACCTCCATTTTTCTATCATGCCAATTTTCTATCAATGACCTGCTCTTTGGAATCTAGTAATGTGAATAAATGGGGCGTGTGTGTTAAACCCAGTCTAGTGATTGATGCCTAAGCAAAAATAGGCTGGCTGGCTAGCTGTCTGAGGCTGAGAGTGAAGTGCTAGCTGAGAAACTTCAGGGGAACTTTAAGGAAGTACACAAGACAGATGATCCCTACAAAGCAATAGGCACAGCTTCCAACAGGTGTGCCAGACAGTAAAGTCCATGATATTTGTTAAGAAAATATCAGTTTCTGTTTATTTGTGCATATATTTATTTTATAGACCTTGATATTTTGCATGTATGTGCATACCATACATTTATATAAAGGAACATGTGTTTAATTATTAACTCGCTCATTCAACAAATATTTATTGACGACTGCTAGTCTCAAGATGAAATTAACTGCTCTCACAAAAGATTTATCACCTCAGATACCCTGTATGGGGTTGCTATGAGTTGTGACTTCTTTATGGCAAATGCCTCTTTTCAACAACACTAATGGTGACTGTCCACATGGACATCTCCATATGGAATACACAGAAGTCAAATTGACTACGTGTCAGAAGAGATGATGGAGAAGCACAATATCAGCAGCTACAAGCAGGCCAGAGGCGGACTGTGGAACAAACCATCAATTGTTCATATGTAAGTTCAGATGGAAGCTGAAGAAAATTAAAACACGTACACACAGCCAAAATACCACTTTGAGTACATCCCACCTGGATCTCAAGTCTGTCTCAAGAACTTTTTTGGTGCACAGAACACTCATGACAGTAAACCTGATGAACTGTGGGATGCTATTAAGAACATCATACATGAAGAAAGAAAAAGGTCATTTAAAAAAAGACAGGAAAGAAAGAAAAGATCAACGTGGATGTCAGAAGAGACTGATACTTGCTCTTCAGTAGTGAGTAGTGTAGTTATGACAGATGGAAGCAATGATGACTCAAAGAGCGAACAGAAAATTTCAAAGCAGCTTCAGAAGCCAAAGCCAAATATTATTATGAAATGTGCAAAAACCTAGAATTAGAAAACCAAAAAGGAAGATTATACTCAGGATATCTTCAACTGAAAGAACTCAAGAAAAAATTCAAGCCTCCAGTTGCAATAATGGAAAATTCATGGGTAAAATATTGACTGTTTCAGGAAGCATCAAAAGAACATGGAAAAAATACACAGTCACTGTACCCAAAAGAACTAATCAACATCCCATCATTTCAAGAGGTAGCATGGGAACAGGAACCAATGGTGTTGAAGGAAGACGTTCCCGCTGCACTGAAAACATTAACCAAAAACTAGGCCCCAGGAATTGATGGAAAACCAACTGAAGTGTTTTAGCAAGCTGACGAAAGACTGGACACACTCATCCAGGCAGGAGATTTGGAGGACCACGACTTGGCCAACTGATTGGAAGAGATCCATAGTTGTACACATTCCAAAGAAAGGTGACCCAACAGAATATTCAAATTATAAGACATCATTAATATCACATGCAAGTAAAATTTTGCCAAAGATCATTCAATAACAGTGGCAGCAATATATTGACACCTGCCCAAGGTTCCGGCTGAATTCAGAAGACGAAGCAGAACAATAATTGCTGATGTCAGATAGATTTTAGCTGAAAGCAGAGGATATCAGAAAGACATTTACTTGTGTTATATTGACTATGCAAAGACAGTTGACGGTGTGGATCATAACTAATTGTGGATAGCCTTGAGAAGAATGGGAATTCCAGAACTCTACATTGTACTCTGCAGAACCGTTCATGGATCAAGAGGCAGCTGTGCGAACAGAACAAGGGAATAATGCATGGTGTAAAACCAAGACAGGCATGTGTCAGGGTTGTATTCTCTCACCATACTTATTCAATCTATACACTGAGCAAAACATCAGAGAAACTGGATTATGTGAAGAAGAATGGGGTATCAGGATTGGAGGAAAGCTTATTAACTACTTGCAACATGCAGATGACACAACTTTGCTTGCTGTAAGTGAGGAGGACTTGAAATACTTACATGGTGCTTAACGTAAGGGTGTCCAAGGGGCTGATGAAGATCAAGGATTGCAGCCTTCAGTATGGAGTACAACTCAATGTGAAAAAACCCGAAATCCTCACAATGGAACCATTAGGTAACATCATGATAAATGATAACATCATGATAAAAGCTTGAAGTTGTCAATGGTTTCATCCTGCTTCGATCCAGTCAATGCTTATAAAAGCTGTAGTCAAGCAGTCAAAGGACATAATGCACTGGGTAAGTATGTTGCACAAGACCTCTGTCAAGTGTTGAAAAGCAAGGATGTTTGTTACTTTGAGGATTCAGATGTGCCTGACCCAAGCCCCAAGGTATTTCAATTGCTTCATGCATGTGAAAGTTGGATATTGAATAAGGAAGCCTGAAGGAGAATCAATGCATTTGAATTAGAGTGCCGGAGGAGAACATTAAAAGTACCATGGACTGCCAAAAGATCAAACAAGTTTGTCTTGGAAGAAGTACAGCCAGAACCCGTCTTAGAAGCAAGGATGGTGAGACTGTCTCACATACCGTGGACATGTTGTCAGGAGAGATCAGTCCTTGGAGATCAGATAACGTGCTTGGTAAAGTAGAGGGTCAACAAAAAAGAGGAAGATGCTTGACCAGACGGAATGACACCATGGCTGCAAACATAACAACCATTGAGCAGATGGCACAGGACCAGCCAGTGTTTCATTCTATCGTCCACAGGGTCACTGGGAATTGGCGCCGACTCGATGGCACTTAACAATAACATGTTGGAACTGACACTATCACAGTAAGCTTTGGGGATTGTACGGGCAATGTGGCTCAAAGCACTGAGAGTATCATAATGAGTAAGACAGACACAACTTGGCCCTCGTAATGCTTCATTCTAGCTGAGGACATTCTGATCACTAACTAAGCAGACATACCGTATATACTCAAGTATAAGCCGACCCGAATATCAGCCGAGGCACCTAATTTTACCACAAAAACTACATTAAAAATGTGCTGAAAGACTCGGCTTATACACGTGTATATGCATGTACGGTAATAGGACAGAGAAAGACACATGTTATCAAACAGAAAATGGGATACAGGGAGTGGTAGGAAAGGGGAATTTTTGAAACTCTTCAGTCAATCTAATCTTGGTTTAAAAAAATCCATGTCAAAAATAGTTTAAAATGAGTCCTTCCCACAGAATTGAACTGTTTCCACTCCCTGGTAACTCTTCTCATGCTGCTCACAACTTTGTATTTTATTCTGGGTGTGATGGGAATTCTTGGGGAGTCTGAGAGGAGAGCAGTGATTTGAATTATTTATATTAGTTAAATAAAGATGGGTGTTTATTTGTACTAACTAAACATAAATAGTTGATGTTTAACCTTTTTTTAATATAAGGGTGTCCAATCGAAAATGTTTAGAGACTATTAGACCAAGGAATGGTATGAGGAAATTATTTTACGGGGATGAAACCTAATTACTTTCTTCCCTATACAAGAAATTATTACTTGACTGGTTCCATGAGCCGCATAGGAAGCTATGTGCCAAAATTGCAACGTGAAAGGATTTTAGTCAGGAAAAAGCATGTCTGTATAGAGCCTTGTTCATGCTGGAATTTCTTAAACAGCTTGTGTAATCACAAGCCATGATTTGATTTTATAAAAATCTTGTCTAACAGATAGTTTCTCAGAATCACTTTCAACCTCATGATATCAAGTCTTACACTCACTCCAGTCTTCTCAACTTTTCTTTTTTAAATGTTAAGTGGACATGGACTTTCTGCAGAATACAACTTTGCAGAATTATCTTAGCATACGCCAAGTTAAACATGTCAGCGAACTCAAAGTGGCAGCTTGTGGGCAGAATGTAGCACACACACACACACACACACACACACACACACACACACACACGTGTGTTTTGTTTGGCCTACCTGGGACTTGGGAAAAGTTTGAGCCAACATTTTAAAGCCAGAGGTTTTACATAGTAACTCAGATTTCTGTCTTCATTTGAAACAGTAGGAGATTGTGGTAGTTACACAATTTTCATGTCAACTTGAAGAAATAAAAGTGTAGGGGTGGAGTCTAGCCTGTCAATCAGGTCACAGCCTGTTGGTACCTCCTAGTGGGCGTGACCTTCTCATAAGAAGAGTCCTGGGAACTTCCCCTCTCTCTCTGCCTCCACCTTCCTGTTGACAAGCTACACTGTGATGCAGCCACCACCACTGGATCCACACAATTCTGCACCCACTGGCCTGTGATCTTTCTCTGTGATTTGTTTCTCTAGTCAGCCCAGCCTAGAAAGATTGGACCTCTATCCCCACAGGGCAGCAGTACACTAGAGTGAACCTGGAACTGCCCCCTTAGAGGAAGCATGTCCTTTCCCGGCTACTAGAATCCCCACCCCCTACACCTTGACCCTGGTGGGTGTAGGGGTTATGAGTTGGCCTGCAATCTGCATGGTCGGCAATTGGAAACCACCAGCAGCTCCACAGGAGCAAGACTGGGCTTTGTACTCCTGTAAACAGTGACAGTCTCAGAAACCCACAGGGGGCTCTCTGGGAGTCCGCTTTGCCTTAATGGCAGTGAGTTTGGTTTTGTGGAGTATACCTATTGAGCCCCATTTGAAACGGCTTCATTTGAATTATACACTTGTCTTCCGAAGGCATTTGAGTAGGGGCATTGCGATTAACCACGAACATTCATATTCTGAATATCCTCTTTTCTTCACCTTACTAGGAATCGCCTATCCCAGAAGACAAAGGCCGTCGATTCATCTTCTCTTACTTTCTAGCCACCGATATGATCAGTATCTTTGAGCCTCCCGTTCGAAATTCTGGTATCATTGGGGGCAAATACCTTGGCAGGACTAGGATTTTTAAGCCAAACTCCTTACTGGATAACCCTGTCTACTACGGACCTGGTGACTTCTTCATTGGTGCTGTCATTGATGGTAGGTCTTCAGACAGTACAGGCTTTCCTATTAGGTGGGCAGAGGGCTTCTTCTTAGGTGGAATTTAGTTTGTTAACTCTGGTAAGACTCTATTGGGCTGTATTCCAACCGAGATGAAGCTAATATTCGTGTGTGTGCAATACAGTGTCTTAAACGGCTTCCTTACCAATGAAACCCTAAACATGGCTGCATGTGTTTGCGTGCATCCATGCACCCCACATGTAGACCTTGAGTTTCCTAAACACTGCTCAACCTACTGCCTATTAGGAGCCACTAGAAATTCATTAACACGGGGGGTAGGGAAGTCACAATTGCATGCCCTTTGTTATGGGAGGGTCAATATTATTTTACTCCTGATTGGTTGGTACCCTCTCCTCAGTGTTTGGCCATCGGTTCGTCATCCTTGATGTAGATGAGTATGTTTTGAAATACATGGAGAGCAATGCTGCCCAATATTCACCGGAAGCACTCGCATCAGTTCAGAACCACGTTCGACAGCAAGAGGCCCCTGCACCAGAATTAGCAAAGTATGTTTGATCACAAAAGTCCATTTGGGATGGGCATTTAGCAGTTCTTGACCAAATCAATGGGTAACCAATTTTAGATTGTCAAATTCTCCATCATTAAGTGGAAACCATTAGACCTATACATATGGTTCCCTGGGTCCAATTTAGTAAATAGTAACTTAGCATTTTTTTCAACTTTATTACTTTTGGGAAGAACTACAAAGTGTTTACATGTGTAAGATGTTATCACTGGGCTCTTGGGCTCTTGGCAGTAAAACAAAACAGACAAGAAGCGATTGCCTTCCTGAGTTGAGTTTGTAAGCAACAGACAGTAAAATCACACTAGTCAATATGTAGCATGGTTGTTTCCCAGGGTGGCTTTCAAAATAACCGTGAACTTGGTGGCTCAAAACAATAGGAGTTTATTGTCTAACACTTCAGGAGGAGCAGATGTTCTAAATGAAGCGGTTGGTTGGAATGGCTTCTTCTGGAAGCCCTAAGGGAGAACTCATTCCACGCCACTCTCCCGGCATCGGTGGCATTGCTTGGGCACCTTAACACAAATGATGTTATTTTCCTAAACAAAAATGTTTGCTGAGATGAGTGGCTTTGTTTCACATTTCAACCAGAAGAGAGATGGATTTTTATGACCGCTTCTGTATTCAGCCTTCTGTGCGATCACTCGTCATGTAATGTGTACATGTGAGCAAACCAAGATACAGGACGAATCATAGCTTGAGATTATTATAAGAATAGTTTTGATTTCAAGGCCCCCCCAAGCATCTCTTGCTTTGTCCAGCAACCACGAGATTACTCTTGGGGAACCTTGAACTATGGTAGGACAGGAAGGCAACACATAGAGGTGCAGGTGCTGACAGGTGGCTAGCTGTGGTTGTTTGTGGGGGGTCTCTCTCTCCTGAGCATTCCATGATTCTTGGGGTACTGGCACATCTACCAATGTACTTGTTGGCCATCTGGATGTCGTCTTTGGTGAAGTGCCTGTTGATGTCCTTTGCCTATGTTTTCAGTGGATTACATCATATTACATCATAGGGGATGTTCGCATCATTACCTAATAGTGCTCTTGTCTAATTCCCATTCTCAAAGGGAACGCGCTCAGCCTCGCTCCATTGAGAATAATGTTGGCTGCTGGTTTGGGCTCTGTGTCCTTCATTATGGAGAGGTGGTTCTGGTCTATTTTGCGGAAGGTTTTTTTGTTGTTGGTGGTTTTGTTTTTAATCAGCAGAAGGAGTTGGCTTTGATCAAGTACCTTTTCTGTACCATTCAATAGGATCTTGTTGCTTTATCCTTCGTTTTGTTTATATGGTAGATGATGCTGATGGATTCCTTGCTTCTTGATGGGAACAAACTCTCACCCTGGGACGTGCCGCTCTTCTCTAGGTCTGACCCTGGGTTGGATCTGGCAAAAACCAAAGTCAGGGGTGTAACTCTCACTAACTTCTGCCTCCTCCAGGACCCCCTGTTGCCGTCTGTTAACACACTGCATTCCGTGTCTCACTCCAGGGCAGTGGATGCCCTGGGCACTTTCTCTGTTGTATGAAGGGGAAATGGGTATCTAGCTTCTTCAGAGGGGGCGGGGATCCTCATCAAATTCTGAGAATCTTGGGCTGAGCACATCAGGATTTTATATGCTCGACGCTGCTTACCCCGGGAGCATACCGAAGATAGTGGTCTGAGTGCTTTCTGCACTTGAATAACTCCCCGACCACCATTTACAATTGAGCATGCCTGATTGGCCATAGACCCATCAGATCAAAACATTTTGCTCCTATAACGCTAATGCCTGAGATCATGTAGATATTGGGGATTGGGGGAACATGTGTTGTTGTTTTGTGTCATTTCAAAAGCAACACTTACCTAGTAGTGGGGAAAATATGGAGTAAAAACTTAGGAGATCCAAGTAGAAATAGAGACATTTAAAAAATCCCACAACCCAAAGATGACTTCTAATATGTTTAAAAATATGCATCAAAATGGGGCCTACCACCCTACTATCAGTTGGTCATCCATTTCTCCTACTGTGGTGGCTTGCAGGTGGCCACCGCACTGGGAGCCATGCCACCCACTGGTGTTTCAGATACCAGCAGGGTCAGACCTGGTGGACAGGGGTCAGCAGAACTTCCAGACTTGCATAAACTAGGAAGAAAGCCTCTGGTGATGTACTTCTGGAAGTTAGCCAATGAAAAGCTTCGGGCTCCCACTGAACTACCAGCCAGTATTGTGCTGGGAGGGCAGCTTCCTAGGTTGGAAGGTCATAAAGACGGCTCAGGCCCAGGTGTGAGTCAGAGCCCACCGATGGCAAGTGGCTACAACATACAAATGGGAAATTCTGCAATATTGTTTGTTTTACTTTCTAAGACTTCATATTAGACCATGAAGATTTATGATCTCATGAAATGTGTTATGAATGTTAATGATTTATATTTTGGGGAACAAGTAGACATTTCAAAAAAAATTGTGGGAAAATGCCATTATCATTTAATTCTATTTTCCACTAAGTTTTTGAAGCCCCCCTCATTTATATGAAGGCACCAAGGGAAAGTTGTGTTCCCACTCAATCTTCTATTTCACCCAGTTCTTACCCTTGGCTTTCCTACGTGACTACCTCTTTGTTTTCTTCAATATCTTTAATTCAGACCCAATTTAAATATGTGTTCTTATTCCCCTTAGAATTTTTGCACAAAAATTAATGTCCTGTGCCTGGCTTTTCTCAACCACGGTGTATCTTTTCCCTCTTTCTGCAGCCTTGTCAATAACTGGCGGAAGTATTATATAATATAATTGTAGTGCATATCATTTAGCCAATCTCATTTTGTATCTCACAGATACACCTCTGTGCATGGGTTCCCTTATCAGAAATGGTTTGCCAGTCTTTTGCTTCGTGTTCCCAAATTGTTCCAAAATGGTCAATGTCACGTTACCCCTTTCCCAGGATGGGCTGCCCGTAAGTAAAAGGGGGAATTGTTTGTAAAAGGGCAATTCCTAATGGCAAGTTCCTGAGTCTTGTATACAAGAAAAGTTCAGAATGGAAGTGCAGCGGTGGCCCGTGAAGGAGAGGGGGCGGGGGGAGGGGGGTCCAGAGCACTTGAAGGAGCAGGCTGGGACTGGAGTGAGATGTGAGGTAAGCCAGGAAGGTGTCTGCGTCTTTTCTCCTCCACAGAAAAGGGGCTGTACTTATTGAGCCTGTGTGAGGATTTGCGAAGGAGAAACATGGCGGTCTTTCCCAACCCCAAAATGCTTTCCTTGTAATGGGACCTTTCCCCTTTCCTTCAGCACCGTAGGATTCAATCTTACATAAAAGGAGGTTGTGTGTGGACGGGAATGCTCTCCTTCTTCCTAACCTCAGGTGGCTGACCTCTCTTCACTGCAGTCACTGCAGCACACAGAGCAGTCTCAGAACTTCCATAGCAATGTTTGGTTCACCTATGGTTGCCTGGGTGAAGGAGGTGGCAGACTATTTGCTTAGGGGGCATTGAGTTTACGTTCGTGGCCGTGGAATACTTTGGAAAAAGCTATCAGCAATGGTTGTATACCATGAAGGGCATAATCAATGGCACTGAATGACACATGTAGAAATTGTTGGACTAGCGAATTTTTTGTTGTGTATATTTTTGCTACAATTTAAAAAAATCACATGAACAACAGCGCATACAAGGAAGAAGAAAATGTTCTAAAATTGATTGTGGTCATGATTGTACAATTCCTCTTGATGTGACTAAACTTGAATTGCAAGATATGTGGATAAAGTGCCAACAACTGTTTTAAAAAAATGAAAAGAAAGAAATAACTTTCAGCCAAATAATAGGCATGCCTATAGAACAATCAAGCACAAGCATTCCAAACTGTAGTTTATCTTCTCATCATCTTATCAGTGTCTTTCAGAGAGTGAAATTTGTTAATTTGAATTAAATATATTCATAGTAAAAAAAAGGAAGAAAGATAAACGTTTCACAAAATTCAGTGAATTGGAGGGGGGTGTTAGAACTATAAGAGACTCCTGGCTGCATGGCTATACAGAGAGAGAGAAAGGCCTTTAAGAGTTTATGATCCTTTCATGTGTGGGTGTTTGTGTAGATATATGATAGATTTCTCCCTGCCATCGAGTTGATTCTGACTCACAGAGACCTTATAGGGCAGAGGAGAGCCACGCCTGTGGGTTTCCAAGACTGTAGCTCTTCACCAGAGCAGAAAACCCCATCTTTCTCCAGGAGAGCCGTTGGGGGTTTCCAACCACGTACCTTCTGGTTAGCAGTCCAACGCTTAACCCACAATGCCACCAGGGCTCCTAAAGTATAGCCATACCCAAACCAAACCAAACTTACTGCCATCGAGTCCATGCCAACCCAAAGTGACTCTCTAAGACAGGGTGAAACTGTCCCTGTGGGTTTCTGAGGCTGTACTGTTGATGGGAAAAGAAAGCCCTTTTTTTTTTCTCCATCAGAGTGGCTAGTGGTTTCGAACTGTGGACCCTTTGGATCATAGCCCAATGCATAAACACTAGCCACCAGGGCGCCTCCTAGTATAGCTATAGAGGTCTGGATATATAAAAACATTGCTGGCTGCATGGTTTGACACACACGCAGACCCCTCAGACATTTATTTTTAGATTATGTAACACCAGTCTGCCACAACATTAAGAGACAATCATGTGAGTCTAGCTAAGACCAAAACTGGGAGGCGTGCAGGTGTGAGATCTGGCCTGGTGCAGTACAGTGATTTCACAGTGGCAGGAAGGGAAGCCGGGCTGCAGTTCAAAACTGCCCCCAGTCCAGCCTTCCCAACGTGGCCGTCCGCCACCAGCCCACACAGGCAAGGGCCTGATTACCCATGACACGCTCAGCAACCAAGCTGTTTGTCAGGAGAAAAGCTTCCCCGGCTCCCCAACCCCACCAAGTGCGAACCTTGGTCCCTGAGATAAGAGGGGTCCAGAATAAATGCCATGTCCGGTCCCTCCCTCCCTCCCTCCCTTCCTTTCTTCCTTCCTCCACAGCAAGCAAACAGAGGATCCAGGCACGCAAGAGCTAGAAACGTTAATCGAGGAGATCCAGAAACAACTGAAAGACTATGCGTGCAAAGACAACATCCGCGAGGCATTTCAAGACCATGACAAGGAAGCTTCAGGATATGTGGACAGAGAGACGTTCTTTAAGATCTGTGAATCTTTCAGTGTCCCACTTGATGACTCCTTGGTTAAAGAGGTCAGTAGATGGAGATGGCTCGCAGCTGCGGCTCAGCACCATTCACTCTCCCAAAGGCTGTCGGAGGCGTGTTTTGTTCTAACTGGGGAAGATGCAGGATGCTTCAACCAGATGTCCTATCCTGGTCACGGCATTCCCCTCGAATCTAGGGGGAAGACACCACACATGCCGAATGGGGCTGGGTAGGCAAAGGTGTCAGGGGGGGGTGGGGGCAGCAGGAGGGGTCCTAGAGGGGAGCCACAGAGGGGCTGAGCAGGACAGGTGGTTGAGGGTCTTTGATGCTCCTCTTCTCAGCCAACGCCTAAGAAAGCACATCGTTGGGCCCCTTTATTGGGCTCAACACGGCGTGTCAGGCAGCTGTACATGGAGGAAGGGTGGGGAAGCTGTGGGCTCAGAATTGTCGTGGGGGACGTGAAAAGGAGTGGGTGCCCTTCTTCATAGTGACAGAGTCCTGGCGGGGGAGGGGCTTACTTGTGGAGCTGCTCACTGCCAGGTCAGGAATGGGGACCTCCCCCCCAACCTCCCTGTAGGAGAAAGAGAAGATTTCCTGCTGCTGCAAAGATGTGTGGTGCCAGAAACCTAGACAGAGCCACTGTGGGTGGCCGGAACCAATTCAATGGCAGTGGCTTTGCCTTTCTGGTTTACTGCTCCCATTGGGACATCCTCACAGGTTAAAAAGATCATGCTACCGTTCTCTAAGGAGACCTTTAAAAAGGGAATGGGGTATTCAGAAGTGAGGGCTCCTTTAGGGAGGGTGCTTTTTCAGTGATTTTCCATGCTCAGCAAGGAACATGAGCATGGGGCTGCGGTGAGACGGCGAGAAAGACCAGAGGGTACTTGTCTCCGTGGCCTGACACCATGCTGGTCCCAGACCGCAAACTGACAGTGCGCCTAGTTTCCGATGCTCAAGTTATTCATGTTATCTGACATGGGAGGGCGGGGTGGCAGCTGCTGGGCAATGGCTCAGGCCGCTGTGTGGCTCTCCTGAAAACCACTCACAGTTGTCCCAGGAGATAGTTTGGCAAATCTCAATGCTTCTAGTAGTTTGTGATAACAAAAAACAAACAAACAAACAAACCAAAACTCACTGCCATTAAGTAAATTCTGATTTACAGCAACCCTATACGACAGGGTAGAACTTCCCCTGCGGATTTCCGAGACTTTTAACTCTTTACAGGAGTAGACAGACTCATCTCTCCCCTATCTGGTGGGTTTGCACTGCTGACCTTGAAGTTAGAAGCTCAATGTGTTAACCACTATGCCAGCAGAGCTCCTGTCCTGTGATAATAGGAACCTACTATTTCAAGAGTTTCAGCCCCCTCCCCCAGACTAGATGTGGACAAAATTTTATATTCGCGTCTATAAACAACTAGAAGTGCTTTGGACACTCTAGTTCCCTGCATACACATAGATGTTAGTCCTGAAGTTCCGGGAAGGCCCTTGGCTCCTTCTGCATGCCCGTCTCATTAAGTGTAAAATGGAGACAGCCTCTGAGCTACTACACCGGCAGGATCAGTTCAGACTCCACTGCGGTTATGAAGACTCGGAGCTGGTCCCAAACCTGGCATCGTTAGGCGCGCATGCCCTGCGTTCTGGCTCACCTGTTCCCTTTGCTTTCCTCCGTAGTTAATCAGGATCTGCTCTCACGACGAAGGCAGGATCAACTACTATAACTTTGTCCGTGCTTTCTCAAACTGACCGGGGGATGGCCGGAGGCAACGGCGCAAACTGGACCTCCACTTTGAACTCAACCTTGTACTCTTCGTAGAGGCACCGGCAGCACCTGACGTTACATGTCCCCATTTGGTTCTTGTATTTCACTGAAAGCTAAATTAAATGGATCTTACGGGATCTAAGCTTGGTTGATTCTTGAGGGGGGGTGGCGGGTGAGGCAGATCAGCAAGCATGATTAAACGTGTGATCAGTACTGTTAGAGGCGTCGAAGCTCAGCACGCAGCCCTGGCTGTTGGTGGCGGCTGGCCCATTGCTGCCACCCAGCCCCGTTCTGCAGGGAGCTGTATCGTGTGGCTGTCTAGCTGAGACCTGTATTTTAAAAGACAAAACAGAATTTACCAGAGAATGTTACACACAGTAGGTGCGCATCATTTCACAAAGCTTTCGTTTCCATCATTTGAGCACTTACTGGGCCATGATGTAAAATGATATTTCTTGATGGGGGCTGGATATGTTTTAAAAAGGAAAGTGCTTTTAGAGAGGCTTGGCCTTAGGATGGGAGGCAGACTTGTAGCAGTTCCTGGTTATCTACTGGGCCTTCTTAAAAGCAGGCAGGGCCACTACTTCTACTTTCAACCAGGCACCATTTTCCTCTCGGTCAGCATGCTCCCTGTCTAACTCCTGCCTGCAGGAGTGTATGGCCACGGAGCCAGGGCTGCTGGGCCACTCAGAACCCCTGAAGGCTCCCTTGGCTTTTGCTTTCCCACTGAGCTGGACAGCTATCATCAGCTTATTAAGGGCTGGAGATGTCATGCCGACTTCCCCCTTCTGCCCAAAGTTGATATCTCAGGAGGAACCCTGGTTTTGTTATTTGTTTTTTGAATCACTTACAATTATTTTTATAAGTCTCATTTTCAAGTATTTAAGAAGTCCTTTTCACACAATCAAACGTTTTTAAATTAATTACAGTCTAAAATACAAACACGAAGCCCTAGACTTCCTGTACCAGGAGCCCAGGTGGCCCAGCAGCTTACACAAGGCTACTCACTGTGAGGCTGGTGGATGGTTCCCACTCAGTGGCTCCAGGAAGCAGAACTGGCCCTCTGCTTCCATCCAGATGACAACCAAGACAAAGCTGTGGGGCACCTCTCCTCTGACACGTGGCACCGCTCTGAGTCAGGACACCGTAGGTCCCCAAACACCCCAGGCTTGGAAGTCATTGTGTGTGTGTGTGTGTGTGTAAAGAGAGAGAGAGAGTTCTTCTTTCCTTCTGGCTTCTGCTCCTTTGCTCCCAATTTGCTCCTCGCCCCTGTAAGATCTGGCAAGGATTAGAGAGTGGAAACCTGAGGGGAAGGACAGTCTCATTTCTGCATATGGAAAAGCCTAATCGAGAATCAAGGCCCTCTGAGAGATGCCCAATCGCGGCTCCATTTTTACCCTAGGAAACCATTTTCATGAGGTCTTGTGAGACATTCCCACAGGAAAACTCCAACTGAACCTGTCTAAGATGCCGATGGCCCAGTTCTCATGGGGATTGCCTAGATTCTGAGTTCTAGTTCTCACAGTACTCCACCAGGGCTCCTTGTCATCCTCTTGGAGAGGGGCCTTTGGGATAGCCTGACCTGCCAAGGCACTCTCTCCCACAATGAGGAGTCCTCACCAGATCGCTCTTGGCTGGACAGATACTTTCCTTGAGACTTGTTTTCAGTGAGAATTAGGCACCCTAAATCATGCGCTTTCCAAATTCCAGGAGGCTCATGTGAAACCGAGAGGGTCTCATAGGACCCCCTCAATGAGCTTTTGAAGCAGCAGCATTCTGTCTGCCCCTTTCACGAACTGGGACACCCCACTCTAGTTCCCCTCCCACCCCTGCCTCTTTTGGGAGAGTCGAGTCAGCAAAAGCCCTGGTCTCCAGTCTCAGTGAGATTTCCATGGACCTTGAACAAACTGCTACACACGGAAGTACTTGCCAACTTTTGTCCTCAACTTTGGACCTCAGAAGGAATATTAGGAAAAAAATTCATGTACCCACCCTTGGACATCTAAATGCTCAAAGTTCTGATGATATTTCTAACTTACTTTTCATCTCTTTTGTTTTCTGAGTTAAAAAAACGCCACTAGGTAAAATACAGCTTCTTTCTATTGCATCCAGTGGGGCTCATTATTAAAACGTCATCCTCACCGTAATTGTTAAGGCGCACTGGTGGCGTCGTGGTTATGTGTTGGACTGTTAAGCCAGCGGGTCAGCAGTTTGAAGCCACCCTCTGCTCTGTGGGAGAAAGATGAGGCTTTCTACTCCTGTAACAATTAGCCTCGGAAATGCATGGGGGCAATTCTACTCTGCCCTGTGGCGTTGTGAGCTGGAATCAGCTCTCTGGCAGTGCGTTTGGTTTGGAGTTCTTGCTGTCATTGTTAGGAGAGCTTCACAGAGAAGTGCTTTGAACAAAGTTGACATCATTCAGGTTATGCTCCTTAAGCGGGCTGCCTCACGCTTCACTTTGCAGCCCATTTCCAAGTTGACCCAAGAGTGAGAAGGTATTAAAAGCTTGCACGTGGCCATCTAATGCACAGTCAGTCTCCATTCATCAGGAGCAAGAAGGAAAGGAAGGAGAGCCAGGAACACGAAGACATGGAATGCGTGGCTAACTGGCTCCACGACATGAGTGGATGTATTCAGCTACCCCACTGAACATCTTGATCAAGCATTCTCCAGAAGACTCTTCATCGCATGGGAGAAAACACAGAACAGTTTCAACTCCTCATGGCCTCTAGACTTTCTAGGGCCATGGGGACTGGGTGAGTTCCTGAAATTATTAAGTTTTCCTCTTTAGAACTTAAATCACAAATATCCCCTGCAATCTCTTTAAAACTGAAAGGTTGAGCTTCCGATTAAAAAAGGAAAAACCTGCCTTGAGCGTTATGCTCTTTTAAGAACTCTACGGCATCATAGGGCCAACAGCAATTTCAAAGATGCCCTAAGTGCCTTAAGGGGGCAATACGCTTATGTTAACGAAGGAGGCGCTACTGAGAACAGCCTCATGAGAATGGTTGCACGCCATGAAAAATCCCATCAATGTCACTGGGTTGGCCATGTAGCCACGGCTGAGTTGACGATGTATGCTGACATTCTAAGACCGCATACTAATAATTTTCAGCTTATCGAGAGGGACAAAAAAGTGAGAAGCTGTGATGTGTTAGCAGCATGATGAGGCGTCATTTCTATTTCACAGACTACCAGTATCAGTTCTATTTCACAGACTACCAGTGCCAGCAGTTCACTCCCATGGCGCCCCCACTCACTGCTAGTTAATACAAGGGCACCAAATGAGAAACCAAACTCAGTCCCATTGAGTTGGTTTGAACTGTGACACCCCCCACCCCCCCAGACAAAGCTCCACCTTTCTCCTCATGAGTGGCTGGTGTTTGTTTTTGAACTGCTGACCTAGCTGTTAGCAGTGCGATAGGCAAGCCATTACGCCACCGGAGCTCCTTAACAAATGACAGAAACCACCAAAATCAGAATGGCAGTACAGCCACCCAATGTTACTAATTACCTTACGGGGCCTATTTGAAGAAGGCAGCATCAGGGTTGGAGGAAGGCGGTGGGATTTCAAATCCAGGAAGGCCTGCATCAGGTCATATGATCTCATCCCGCGTATTCCATCTGTAAGCTGAGTCAATAAACTGGGAAGATGGACCAACTGAAGAAGAGCGCTACACCAGGATTGGAGCAAGACTTCTTAACTACCCAAGAGATGCAGAGGTCACACCGTGTTTGCTGAAAGCACAAGGGGGACTGTGCGCACTTGCTGATGAAGATCAAGGATTGCTACCTTCCGTGTGGACGGCAACTCAAGGAGAGGAAGCCCCAAATCCTCAGAGTAGATACCATCATGCATGACACATGGAGAAAAGATCGAGGGTCTCAAAGATTTCATCTTGCTTTGCTTTAGGTCCATGCTCATGGAAAGGAGTCAAGAAGTCAGAGGACACCGTGCAATGGACAAGTCTGTCACGAGCTGCGCCAGAGCAATGGGGTTTCAATGGCCTCCTATGCATATGAAAAGATATTAAATCAGGAGCACTGCAGAAAAATTGGTGCATTCGATTTATAGTGCTGGTGAAGATTACTCAAAGTACCACGCACTACCAAGGTTTTCCTATGGTTCTTTCCTGCACCTGACGGCCAGGTGATAATCCAGAGACAGTACCTGGATTACTGGCTTCTTGGGGGTATGGCAAGGGAGGGGAGGGAGAAATGGGGAACTAAGAAGAAGAAAATTTTCTGGAATTAATTTTGGTGATGACGGTACAACATTAAAAAATATGCTTGAACTATTGAATTGTGTATGTGAATTATATGCCAATAAAATTCTTTTTTTAAAAAATCTGTCTTGGAGAAAGTAGAGCCAGAATGCTCTTTCGAAGTGAGAATGGAGAGATTGTTGTGTCATGTGCTTTGGACATGTCACCAGGAGACCAGTCCCTGGAAAAGGGCATCATGCTTAGGAAAGGTATCATGTTCAGTGAAAAAGAGGAAGACCCGGGACAAGATCGATCGATCCAGTGGCTGCAGCAATGGGCTCAAAGCCAACCACTGTGCGGAGGCCAGCTGTAGGACAGGCTGTGTTGGGTTCCACCACCGGTAGGGTTTTATGAGTCGGTAGCACCTAGCACTAATTATGCCAGTCACCCCAGCATTGATTGGGAGCTGTGGACTCAGGGGACAGAAGGAAGCTTAGCACTAGCCCACAGCAAATAAGACTGTGGGAAGCAGTATTCTATAGAAGCTCACAATGAATGATACCAAAGACAAGGAGACTGGTCATTCTATGCCTTTTATTGTTATTTCAGAAAATATTTATTGATCATGTGTTCCAAATGTACATTAAAAAAATCCATACAAAACTGTCATTTCTTTTAAAACCAGAGCGAAACAGTGGAAAGAGGATTTTGAAAAAAATTTCCCCCAGGTACAAAGGGCCCCACCCCCCACCCCGTTACATGAAAGCATAAATACGGCAGGTACAGATTTTCCTTGAGTTCCATGTTGGAATTTGGTCCATGACATGAACAGGCTAAAGTAAAAAAAACGACGAGACCAATCGTCCACATTTGCATTATGCGTTGCTCAGGGACCAGCAGCCTCCCTCATCCTCCCGGTGCTTGTGAAACAGAACAACTGGACAATGAGGTTGACAGTCTCATCACGCCAACTTTTGAATCTGCACCCACAAAAGTGGCGACCGCTGCAGGATTCTACCAGGTAAACCGGGGCGTGTCCGCGCGCGCGCCGGGCTGGTTCTGAAGACTCCCTTTTCCTTTCCACGGGAACATGGAACCCTGCGACACCTCCCGGAGGGGTGCCGGTGATAACACAGGCGCCCCAACAGAGCCCCCCCTCCCCCGCAGACTCACACTCCAGGGCTAGGTTGGGCTTTTCCTTCTCAACAGGTGTAACACACACTGATGTCTAAGGCGATGCTACATGTACGAGCGCACCACGGAAACCCGCCCAGGGTCACGACAAGGACAGCAACGAAGGGACAGGGTGCCGGCGACCCCTCCGGTGGGTCCCTCTCCTCCAGCCGCAGGGCCCTGCCAGGAGCAGAAAGGCCCGTGGGACAGACCATCTGCTGGGAGAGTTATTGCACAACCCCGAGAGCAAGGAAAAGGCAGGTGGCAGGGTGGGGCAGAGGAGTTGCTGCTACCCAGGGGCAGGCCCAGGACTGAGGGCTGCGAGGTGGGTCTGCAGCAGCCAGCGGCGGCCCGCTGTCGCCGGGTGTCTGGGCATTACCGCTGGAGTCTGGCAAGCAAAAAGGAAACCCCTCCGCCCACACAGCCTGTGGGCTGAACGGGACAGTAGCAGATCGGGAGAGCTTATGTCAGGGCTCCTTTTTGAATACGGGGGTGACTTGCAGGGGGATTCTCTTCCTAGACATGAATAGGTGCCTGCAGACAGACCACGGCGCATGCTCCTGACCACGGCGCATGCTCCTGACGTAACCCAACTGAACATGGGAGAAGCCAGAACAAGGCAGTGTACACCAGACATGATCACCATGGGGGCGCGCGGTGGGGGTGGGTGGGTTGGGAGGCTGAAATAAAGGCAAAACTGTCACAATCCATCCTTTTTACATGGAACTGCACTGAGGCACGGTGTCCTTGGCTGCCCAGGACAGAGTCCTATAGGCCCGGAGCTGGCCATGCAGTACAGGCGAAGGCTAGAAGGCTGCACGGCCAAGAAAGGCACTTCTTACACAAGCCGAGTGAGACCTCAGGACAAAGCCTCCAGGGGGGTGTGAGCCCAAGGGGCCACACAAAGGAAGTCTGAAAGCTTTTCTCAGTCCTGGTGCTGCTGATCCCAGGGACTACGGGCCAGGGGCCAGGAGAGACCCCTGGGGAGGAGTGGTCTTTTCCCAGCTAACATGTGAGTGAGCACTAGGGTGGAGAGTGAGCAGCTGGACCAACCACGAACAGGGAGGGATTCCGTTTTTTTCAGATCTGCTGACAATGACCTAATTCTCCAGGAGGGGCTGCTGAAAGGTTAAAGAGCGGGTGGTCCCCAAAGGCCTCTCCTGAGGGACAAGGCCGTGAGCCAGGAAGGCAGAGTGGGGGAAGTGAGACCACCCAGGGTCACCCTAATTCACACGCCTTCAGCAAACTCTTGATGAATGGGAATTAAGAGTCCTTAGATGATCGGGAGTGGACGCTTCTCACTAGTGACTCTGAGGTCCTCGGGTACAGGAATTAGTTACAGCCAAACTCCTCTATTTCTTTTAGTTCCGACACAGGCAAATCAGAGCAGGGAGGCCAAAGCAGACAAAGGAAATCCACACCAAGACCATCCCACTGGGTGGCTGGCAAGTCACCTCTCATTTTAACCAACCAAACAAAAAGCCACCAGCCAACCCACAGGGTAGAACATGTTCATGCTGTGGAATCTCTGCTCCTACCCCTTACTCTCTCTTTAGCAAAGAGGTCAAAGGGCAGGCAGAAAGGAAATACCGACAGACTTCAGGGAGCACAGATGCCAGAGGGTACAGCCAAGAGCAGCAGCAGAAAGCAGGCCAGGGCAACGGGGGTCAACTTTGGTTTCTTAGATGTTGGTAAGTTCTGCTTGGGACAGACAAGCAAAGGGGTCCCAGTGACCACTTAGGTCTGGGGGCTCAGACACGCACTGAGTTAGGGTTGCTTACACCTCTCCTCCTGACTCAGCCTGGCACCCTCCCCGTGAGAGACCATCATTTAGACTTGAGTAGCTCCCTTCGAAAGGAACACGGGTAGTAACAGTGCAATCAGCAGAGCCCTGGATGGTAAAAGTAACTGCCCACCATGGAACCTCGGAGGACGGGGGTGGAGAGCATGGGGCTCCATTCTATGAGCAGCCCTTCCCCCCACCCCCTCTGCCAGGGACTTGGTGGGTCACTCAGAGAGAAAGGCAACCGCTGCTGAGGTTGATTCGCGTCTACTCAGCTCTTGGTGAGCTCTCACCGTGGAGGTGTACAGCAGGGCCTTCACAGGCGGCTTGGCACTTGTGACGGACACAGGAGAGTGTGTGTGAAGAAAGAAGTCAAAATGGCCACACCAGGGACGGCCAGACCAGCAAACTCACTGCATGGAAGGGAACTGAGCTCCGTCCGTCTCTGGCAACGTGGTGTGAACCAACTTGCCTATGTAATGACTTGGTTCTGCCCTGAAATGAGTGTGCCAGGCAGGCCACTGGGGAGTCCAAGTGATTTACGATTATGCGCTAGCCCCACAATCTCCCCTGAAACCCAGGCTGATGTGATGCCAGTCTAACCCAAGGCCAGCTTCCTTATAGAGGAAAAAAGGGCATGCTAACTCCTCTCGCTCATCACACCTCCGTCCTGTAGGAAACGGAAGGTAGGCTGACCCCAGCCGTTGCACACTATAAGGCAATGCGGGACCATCAGAGAACACGGAGTCACATCATCTCCAGCACCCGAGGATCTTGGGTGCAGAGCACTGGAACCATGAAGAAAGACATCCTTGATGAGAGGCCTCCCGCTGCCCTGGCCTCCACCAAGCACACGGCAGGCTGCCATCCACATCCACTAAAAGCAAGACTCAGCAGTCTAGCTTGGGCTCACTGGAGAGGGTGCGTCCTCCCCCAGGAAGCTGGTGAGATCCTGCAGAAATCCACCTGGAGAGAACTGGGGTACTGGCGAGCGCATGGTGGAGGGAGCTAGGTGGAAGAGGCCGCTGGCCAGATTCTCAATCTCTCCACTAGCGGGTACTGCCAACGTCTGAGATGTCTACGGGCTTCCAGAGAGTCTGTTTGCCTAAGGCCCAGCCTCCCTTTTACCAACCTTTCTGCTTTGTAGGCTGCAGAAGTGTATGAGCAACACTATCCTGGCTCCCAACGGTGTTATCAGAGCAGCTCAGGGCGATGAGCTTCCCATTTGTGCAGCCTTCTCTTGAATGGTCTGATGGCATGATGGTCAGTCCGGGTGGGAGGAAACACAGCCCTTAGTCACTGCCCCTCTAAGTCTATCTGCAATACCAGTCAGCTGGAGGAGGGGCGTTACCTTGATGAAAAGACCCATCTCCCCCGCTTAGGGTCAACATCCTAGGCTTGGTTTCTGCACTGGTGCCATGAGGTTAGTAAATGACCCCCAAGAACGGCTCCCTTTCACCTTGGCACAGTCGAGAAATTCCTAATTGGGACCCAAAAGCCTAACTCCAATCAGGACGTCCCCGAAAGGTAACTTGGGACTTGGACCTTGTCTCTGGGGGGAGAAGAGGGAATGAACACACGAGGGGAAACCGGGATGCAGTGGGTTCAGGTCATCTCACCAAAAGACCAAACGTGAGCCAGACCACTTCCCCAATCTACATGTGGTGGACATCAGCAAACTATTAATATACCAACTCCAAAGGACACTCAACAAATGAGGCTAGGGGGCCACTGGCCCGGGCGACCCTCTTTGGGGTAACCAAGAGTCTGGTGTAGGGCAGGAGCCCTTGAGGCTTAAATGTTCCTGCAGCAAGAGATGAAGTCCAGGTAGCAGGTGTGGCCCCCAACAGGGCTGGCTGGTGCGGAGGTCTAGGACCAGCAGGTCCCGGCAGGGTGAGTTCACTGCTGTTTGGTTTTGAATGCTGGTGAATTGGTGGGAGAAGCAACTGCAGCTGAGGCTCCTGGAGAAAAGCCTAGTTCATCTCCTATCTGCTGCCCACTACCTATCCGGAAAGGTCCGATGTTTGGTATGCTTGGTTCTTGACCTAGAGAGGGAAGACGGGTCTTCCTCCAGCACTTCCCTGCTGGAGTGACAGCAGGCTGCCTGCCGTGCCAGGACTAGCCCTCTCGAGTCACGGGGCTCAACGGAGTGAACCCCATCCTTCTGGACTGTGTCATCAGGGGCCAAAGCCAAATGCCTTGGCATCCACTGCCAGGAGAGGCCTGCACAACAGTGCATGCAGAACCCTCTAGGTCACACCCAAAGCCAGTCCATCAGCACCAAGGAGATGAAGATCCAGAAGGGGCAGGCTCACTTCTTCCAGCATGGCCCCGCAGGGACCACCCAGGGCCTGCTCCCAGAGGTGGGGGAGGCTCCCGCCAGGAAGTCTCAGGGCATAGGCAGGTCCTGAGGCCTGAAGCTGGCTTCCAGATGATGGACAGACAGCCCTATGATCTCAGCTCCCTCCCATTGTAAAGATCAGTCACAGGGAAAGAAAAGCAATTGCACAACCAAGTCAAGTTACGAAGTAAAAAGAGAACGCAAGGCAGCAGCAGTGGAGACAGAGAAAGAGGAGGCTAGCAGCAAGATGACTCTGAGACCCTGGGTCCTTGGCAAACCCAGCCCAGGGCAGAGGTGAGAGCCGGAGGACTGGGAGGGGGAGGGACAGCGAGAGGGAAAGGGACAGGGAGGGGAGTTTTTGGTTTTACTGAGGATGGTTTCTGGACGAATGCGGAGGAGAAAGCAAAGGAGTGAGAAAAGGAGCCTGACTCAGAGACAGGCCTGTGCTGTTTGAGATGGAGCAGCACCGCCGGAAGGCGACCTGGCGGGACGGCCATGGCGAGGCCCGGCTCCTGCACCCCTCCGGGAGCCCCACCAAGAGGGTTCCTGCACCCAGCACTTTGGCCTTAAGGAGACTTGAGTTTCTTAGTCCGTGGGGAGGTTCCGTTTTCTGCTTTTAGCACTCCGTTTTCATGGTAACCTGCAAAGTTCGGAGACAGACAGACAGACATGGTGTTTGTGCTCGGCCTCTGGCAGGAGGGGGCAGCATGAGGAGGGGGCCTGGCAGAGCAGGGAACTCGACCAGCACTGCTGCTGCACACAGGGCACGGGGAACATAGGCGGCCAAGTCCCAGGAGCAGTGTGGAGGTAGGGCTCCCGCTCTACCCAGCATCTTGGACAAGCAGCCCAGACTGAGGGGCTGGGTCTTGGGCTGCCCTTTGTATCGAGGTGGCTCGGATTCCCCGAGGTGACATGGGGACAGGCAGAGAGCAGGCTGGCCTGCTCTGAGGCTGGGGCTGCCTTCTCGCTGACACCACATGGTTGGTGCCCATGTCCTGCTTCCTCTCAGGTCCCCTGAAGGTTACCGGCCCTTTGAGCAATAATCAGGGCTGGTGAGCAGAGGGAAGGGTTCGGAGGCTGAGGCTTGCCTGCTGCCTGCAGGTGTATGTTGTTAATGTACCTCCTGCATGCTAGGAGTGGAGATGGCAGGCCTAGCTGTGGCTGCATGCAGCCCTGCCACACCTGCCCTGCCTGTGTCTGGTTCAAAGCCACCCCAGCTTGTGCCAAGCAGGCTGCCTCTCAGAGATGCCGGTGAGTCAGACACAGTGCCTGGTGCAAACAAGACCCTGGGCAACAGGTAAGCGCAAGGCTGGTGGTGCCCTAAGAGCAGGTGGCAAGACGCACAGAGAGGTGGGCGTCCCACTCCTACCGCCCACTATGTGTGGTCACCTTGAATTGTTCCCGAAGACAGAGGAGGAGGAGTGGACACCTGGGAGGCAGAGCAGGCTGAGACTCAGAGCAAGAGGGCAGGTGAAGACAGAGCCCGCTGTGCAGGGGACAGGCAGCTGCAGCGGCTGAACTTGGCTGGGGTCCACAAGCTGCCTTGAGGCAGGCTCCCTGCCAGAGCCCCACCCTAGCCCAGCCCTCCAGTGGTGGTGGTGGTGGTGGGGAGACACCCAGTTGAAGAAAGGCTAGCGCCGCCCACAATCTGTCCCTGGCCTCTGCCCAGCCACGTGCCAGCAAGGCCCTGGCAGGAGCCTCAGAGCCCCGGGCCCATGGGAGGGAATCAGGAAGGAGGAGTCGCAGGCCGGGTCAGATAGCCTCTGGACAGAGTCCCAGCTCAGCCCAGGCTGTGTGTGTGTGTGTGTGTGTGTGTGTGTGTGTGTGTGTGTGCACGCACGCGTGTGTCTGTGAGTGTGCTTGCGAATGGGTGTGCCCACTTGGGGCCTGGCACTCACCAGACTCCCTCTTGATGGGCCTGGCTGGTAGTCGAGGGGCGGCCGGGACTCTCCGCTTGGCACTCTGTTCATTCCAGGATTCCCGCCAGTGCCGCAGCTGGGAGTGGATGAAGCGCCACATGAGCCAGGCTTGGGCAGCACACACCAGCAGCAGCACACACAGCCTAGGCGGGGAGACACAGGGAGCTGAGGGTCAGCCTGACTCACAGTCCCCAGACTCTGGTCAGGAGCCCCTTCAGACGGTCCTACCACCATCACCAGGAAGAAGGCAGGTTCAATGCTGACCCACCACCCCTCTGGCTCCCCCTGCCCCCGGCACCACCTTGCTTCTGTTCTGTTGACTTCAGGGGAGGTATCATGTCGGGGCTGGGGAGACAATCAAGACCTAGGCCCAAGGCCCATGGGCCTTGTCCAGTCCTCCACTGGGCTACTCCCCGGCCGGGGCAGGCTCCATATCTGTCTCTTACTGTGCCTTTAGCACATAGCACGGCTCGCCTAAGTCCCCTCAATACCGGCGGGGTTCCAGTGAGCTGAGTGCTACCAAACCAAAACCAAACGCACTGCCATCGGGTTGGTGCCGATGCACAGCAGCCTGCAGGACAAGGTAGACCTGTCCCTGTGCGTTTCCCAGACTGCAACTCTCCGCGGGAGCAGGAAGCCTCGTCTTCCTCCTGCAGAGAAGCTGGTGGCTGTGATTAGGGTTAGCTGTCCAACTCATAAGCACTGTATCGCCAGGGCTCCTAGAGGCTGAACGATAATGAAGCTGACATCATTCAGCAAGCACAGCCTCCCATCTTGTGCACCATTTAGAAGCTGAGTGACCCTGGACAAGCCACACCCTCTTGGGCTCATGGAAACAGCACTGAAGGTGGCCACTAGCTGCTGGCACCTGATTTTAAAGGGTTCGAGTAGAGTTGGAATGAAAGAGGTAAGACTTCCTGTGCCCTGCAAGGCAGTGGGTAAGGGTCAGGGCTTCACCCTGGGACTGCGGCTCTGACCGCAATCTGAGCAGCCCGGGCCGGGGAGCAGAGAGGTCTGAATGGGGCAGGACGCTGGTTCTCATCTCCAGCTGAGCCCCATCCAGTTCCAGAGGTTTCCAGCTACGTAACCACGTGCAGAGCCTCGCAGGCCCACCGACATGACCCTCTGTAGAGTCGAGGAGGCTCTGGAGAAAGTGCCGATTTGGCCTCACTCACCTGCAAAGCAAGGTGTTAAAGTTGCCTTTCTCAGGCTCAAACGCCTGGTTTTCTGTGCGAGCCAGTCCGAAGCCGATGGCCAGCACGGTCAGGGTGAGGATGAAGAGGCGGGTGACCCCAAACACAGCAGCCCAGGCACCGAACCTGCTCCAAGAGATCGAGAAGGGAGACATCAGTCTTGAGGGCGAGGGAGGTACCTTTGCCCAGGTCTCTGGAGGCTGCCCCAAGCAAGGAGAGGTCCAGAGGGTGGTCCTGGAAGGTGCTGGGAGGGACGGGCTAGCCAGACAGGAGAGAAGCGGGGAAGCAGGAAGGCAGCAGTGCACAACCGGGGGCAGGCCCTTCGCTCGGGACACTTACAGTTTCTCGTTGTTCTCATCAGCAAAGTAGAAGAGCCGGGCCAGGTGGAAGAGGGACTCCGTGCAGTACTGCAGTAGCAGTAAGATCAGGCCCAGGCGGCTCAGGCTGAGGGGACAAAGCGCAGCCTGACGCTTCTCCATGCGCCCCCGCCCGCCCCGCCCCCCTGCCCCTAGCTGGATGACCCTCGCCTGCTCTCCCTGGCCAGCCCTGCCTCCCGCTTCAGAGTTTGGTGTTGCTGTCACTTGTCCTGTCTGGGTCAAGTGCCCCACGCAAAAGCTGGGTTCCGCCGTCACCTTGCATTTTCACCTTCTACTCCCCCCGCGTCCCCATCATCACCTCAGGAACTCTGGTGGAAGGGTGGGTCACATGGGGCTACTCACCACAGCACAAAAGCTTGAAACCATCAGCCTCCCCCTTGAAGAAAGAGGAGGCCTTCTACTCCCATAAAGAATTACAGTCTCGGAAACCCACAGGTGTAGTTCTACTTTGCCTTATAACACTGGTTCTCAACCTGTGGGTCTTGACCCCTTTGGGAGGGTCGAACGACCCTCTCACAGGGGTTGCCAGATTCATACCAGTAGCAAAATTACAGTTATGAAGTAGCAATGAAAATAATTTTATGGTTGGGGGTGGGTCACAACATGAGGAACTGTATTAAAGGGTCGAGGCATTAGGGAGGTTGAGAACCACTGCCTTATAGAGTCGCAGTTGCCTTAAGGGCAATGTGTTCAACCCTATCCCCCAGCCCGGGAGCAAGCCCACTAAAGGCGGCTGGACTTGTCTGTGGAAATCTTGTCATTGGCGTACCCCTGTGTCCACAGCCAAGGCTCTCACCCCCCAGCCAAGAAGCAACGAGGAGGCGAAGCCCAACACATCTGCTACTAAACCGACCTCGGATGCAGCCGGCACCACCCTGACCGCCCGTGGCTTAATCCCAGGCCCGGCCTGTGATTCTCGATGTGGGACAGCCTCTTGCGGGCGGTCGGGTGCAATGCAAACACCCCGAAAAGGCTGCAGAGTGAAACGGCAGCTCCTGCTGAGCGTGACGCCGACATGTGCTGGGGCAGGCTCGCTCGCCTTGACCCACGAAGGCCTGGCCCATCACACCTGAGGCTCACTGACCGGGCATCCGAGATGAATGCCAACCCCCCACCCCCACCCCCAGTGTCTTCTCATGGCCCGTGAAGTCCAACACGATCCAGGCCATGACCTCATCCCCAACTTCATCTTCTCAATGCCAGCCACCCTGGGCTTGTGCTGGCTGCTACCTCGGGGCCCTTGCACGTACTGTTCCATCTGCCTGCACACCATCAGGCTGTCATCCCTCAGGTCTCAGAGAGGCCTGCTCATCACACCACATGTGCCAGAGACACGTCACTCCGTCACGCCTGCCTGCTGTTTACTCCTGTGCGCCGCCCTCAGTGCCCACTGCCCGGGGAAACGCATCCATGCCTGCTTCCTTATCTGCAGTCTGACCCCTGCTAGACTGGGCGCCCCGGGAGAGCAGGGGCCTGGTCAGCTCCTCGGGATGAGCTCAGGTCTGTGAGGAAAGAATCAGGGACCCCAAAGCCACGCTCAAGCAAATGAAGCCTCGCATCTGTCCGTATGAAAGTCTGTCCTCCCTGGGAAACTCCCCACACTCGTTCAGGTCTGAAAACTCAGAGAGAATGCAGGGAAGCCCTGCTCCCTAAAGGATCCTGCCAGAGAAGCTGCTGGGCCTTGCGAGGTGGCGGCCTCACGGGACCGTGGAGGGCCTGCGGTCCCTGACCCAGTCTTCCTCCTACACCGAGGTACAGAACACAGTCCAGGCAGCAACTCCAGCCACTGTTGGGAGGTGGAGAAAGAGGACCTTAGAGCCTCCTCCACCTGTGACAACACTGCACGGACCCCTTCTGCGTGGCCCTGCTCCCTAAATGCCACCCTGGCTCTCCTCACACTCTGCTAGGATGGCAGTGTGAGCTGGTCTCTCCGTGCCCACCCTGCAGGAACACAGGGAACCCAAGAGCTGGGCCGGTCCCGACACACGTGGCCCATCTGGACACTGCCGTTGCTCCAGGTTTCTGGGGACAGGCCCTCTGGCAGGTGGGTGATTGAGCGCTGCCACCCTCCCTGACCCCACCTCCCCGAGTCCGTCACTCTCACGGGGTGTTTGCTGTGAGGACACAGGGAACAAGACTTCCAGGCACCTCACATGTAGCATGTTCTCAAGAGGTGAGCCTAGCCCCGGCAGGGTAATTCCCTATCCAGCTGGAAATCAAGCTCAAGAGGGTCATTTGAGTCAGCAGGGACACACGGGTTTGGCAATGCGGTTCTCTGCATAAAGGAGACGCTCAAGGCTGAACAGTACCCAGCTGGTTCTCATATAGAATAATCTTGGGCAAGCTAGGGTATGGGGGCGTCTTCCCTCGGTCTCACCACACACCAGATGAGAGGGCGCTCCAGCAGCACCTGCCTGGGCACTGAGAGGCAGAGACTGATTCCGGCTGCCTTCAGGCACCGCTGCTTCTCATAACCCTTCCCTGGTTCCTGCTCAGGTTCAGTGGCCATGCTCCTGGGCTCCAAGCTGTCCTTATCGGCATCTGTGACTGCCCCTGCTGCCGGGCTGAGAACAAGTCGCTGGAGAGAATGGACTCCTGCTTATTGAACTATCCTTGCATTCCCAGGTCCTACCCCAATGAACGTGCAGACCCACTCAGGGGCCGCAGCAGGCCAGGAAATGTGGCCAGCCGCAGGCTCGCACTCACTTTAAGAGGTATGCGCCCGCTATGTGGGCCAGGTACAGGCAGATGTACTGGAGCTGCCGGGGAATTTCCTCCTGGGGATGGAAGAACCAGACAGAAGAGTTACTTTTCCTTAAATAAAGAGGCAGGGTGAGCTGGGGAGGGGCTGTGCAGAGAGAAGTGAGGGAGGGCCAGGCCCCAAGTCACCCCCAGTCCCAGGAATAGGGCGGCTGAGAAGTCTACCGGGGAGGCAGGCAGCTAACAGCTCGGTGGCAGAGGGCAAGGTTTGGTTTGAGAAAGGCAGGCTTTGGAAACAATTCCGATGAGAATTATATTTAAAAAAAGGGGCTGCAGACAAGGTAAAACCTTTTGCATCCACTGGCTAGAATCCCAGGAGTGAGATTTCCCCAAAGGCTGAATGTGTGCTAGGGGTGGTAGGCAGGAGCCTGGCGCTGGGGGACTAAATGCCTGAGGAGGAAGACTGCTCTGGGGTTGACTCAGCATTTACCTCACCTGTCTCCCCTTTCCCCCACCTGACTTTGGGGAAGGGGATGGGGGTAGGCTCCAGGGAAGACAGTGATGGAGGAGGGGTGGGGTGGGCGAAGAGCAGCCAGAGGAAGTGAGTACTCACCTTCCGCACCTTCTGGAAATACAGCTCAGGAAGTGCATGTAGCCAGTAGGCCAGCTGACACAGGTAGAAAAACTTCACCTGGAAGCTGGAGACAAGGGAGCCAGTCACATGGGTGGGATGGAGGAAAAAAAATCCTCGAGGGTGCTCACCATACCCTGGGAGAAATGGTTAGGGGCCAAGAGCACCCACCATCTCCACCTTCCTGAGTCTGGGGACCCTGGCTCGCAGAGAGCCCGCTGCCCTCTTTCCATACCTATGGCTTCTGAAAGCGACACTGACTGTCCACAGAGACCAAAAGAATGACAAAGATGGGGAGGAGGGCTTCTCGGGGGTGGGGGGACGGAGAAGGGAGCGGGCACTCGAGGTCCTGAGACTTGAACGACTGAGCCACAAAGACAGGCTCTCGAGCAGTTGGCTGCAAAGGGGCCTAGGATGCTGCTGCTCCAGGGTCTCGGGAAAGGAGAAGAGATGTCTCCTGAGGGACGTGGGTGAGGTCTTGCCCTTCTTGGCAGCACAGAGAACCCCCCGAGGAGGAGAACAAGGGCCAGGAGGACCATCTCAGTAGAGCCTCAGCCATGGGTGTGTGGGCAGGGCTGAGGTGCCCCAGCCAGGGGCATGGGCGAGGTGCTAGGAACTCAAGTGGTCGCCATGGAGGCATCGAGCCTGCGACCTGCATGGCATCCGTCCCTGTGGCTCAGGTGTGAAGGTCTCTGGTTTTGAGAGTCTCTGTGGAAAGTCCACAGGGAGAGAAAGTCGCTCTGGACGAGCCAGCCTTCCCCGGCACTCAGCCCAATGGGCTCCCAAGGGACGGCCAGACTCGCTGCTAGCTGGCCTCGCACTGTGCTGGCCACATGGTGGGAAGGAGAAGCCAGGGAAGCAGCTTGCCTGTCCCCAGGGGTGGAATGAGGACATACTCACGGGAGATACACGTGCGGGTAGTCCTCCCAGAGGCTTCTGGGGTTCGTTAGGTACCCTTCCTGTGGTGAGAGAGAGAGAGGAGGCAGCACTGAGAGATGGGGCGGGAGACCGACTGGAGGCCCCAGCTGCCTGCAAGAAGTGGGACCAGACCCGGCAACGTCAGCGTGCAGGACCTCTGGGCGTGGCACCCACTCACGTCTGGCACCTTTCTTCTCCTCAAAGGGGCCCTGTGTGGCGGGAAGACCACATGGCCTGTGTCTGAATATGAGCCTGGTGCTACTCGCTGCCACCTCTGAGCCAGCGCAGGAATCCCCCTCAGCTTCAGTTGGCTCTCTGTAAAGCACAGATCCAAAGCCCTGCCCTCCCAGCATGACTGCTGAACTGGACGTGTGAAAGCTCATGAAGGAGGAGAGTGCTGAGCCTGCCATGTATGTGGGCACTCGGGAAAGACTTACAGAACGAGTGTGCGGGTGGCCTCTAGAGTCACCATGGACTGGAATAAATAGGCGAGCAGCCCGAATGTTCTCCCTGAGCCTCTGCCTCTGGCGTTTATCACCCAGCGTCTCTGTGGCCCTTCACCTCCATTACCCTGCCAGCTCCTTCTTGCGGGGTGCCTGCTGCTGATCCTTGTCTACAGCTCTAGCGTCTAGCCCAGTGCCTGGGACACATTGGGCATCTGGAGATACAGGGTGACAGTGAAGCCCTTGTATCACAAACATCTAGAATTCTCAATTGAAATACAACAAACGCTCCTCTAAATGCACAGCTGAGTCCACAATCAGACAGGGTAACCCTCGTCCCAAGACCAGGTGCTCAAAGCCAGACTGGAGGTGACGCTGTGATAGGCCTAATCTAAGGGGTAAGGTTTCCGTGCCCAGGGGGCATTGAGATCCTTGTGCAAAAGCAGGGCACTTGAAGGACTACAGCCTGGGAGAACGAGTAGACCTCAAAGAGTTTGCTGAGCAACACAAGAGGTGTCCCTCTTAGCCTAAAATGACACCCCACATTTCTTAACTCATGCTTGAAGTTCATTTTCTTACTACCTGCATGGGCCAGGAATCACACAGCTAAGAAATGAGTATAAATCGTATCCTTGGACCACAGATATGTCCTCACCCAAGGATGTGCCGGATGCCTACAGATAGATCCTTAACTGTAAGGATGGGTTTATGACCTAAGATCAAGAAATTCAGGAGGAAACAACCAAGCAGGAACAAGAGTCAGCTAACACTACAAGGGTCCAACAAGAGGGTGCTGTTTAGATGAATGAATGAACGAATGAATGAACAACTATTGCTTTAGGGGATTTCCCTCTGAGGAGAGAAGAACCTACTTGTCAAGCAGAGACGGTGAGATCAGTGAGGCCTCATTTGAGAAATAGGAAAGTTAAAGCACAGACGAGAAGATGTCTGAGAAATTAGCTGGTGTTTCAGCATGAGCTGAAAAGTCTGAGCTGGACCACCAACTGCTTGGCCCAATAACCTCAGGCCTTTGTCTTGTCATTCTGATTGGATTTTTTGCTTGTTTGCTTAGTATGGTTTTGTATGATTGTGTTTTGTTTTGCATGATTTTCTGTACGTGAAATCCAGGATAGGTTGATCTATAGAGACAGTAACTGGATCAGAGCATGGCAGGGGAGGAGAGGGGGAAATGGGGAGCTAACAAGAATGCCTATCAGGTAATGAAACACATCGCTATCCTTAATTTTTCCTCCCCTTACTATTACGGTCTTTGTTTTACCTCATTAATCTTGTTAGACTTACAGATGCTCACATATAACACTTGTTATGTGTTACATATGTTCATTAAGAGTATTTGATGCGGGGGGAGCGGAGAGGGAGGGGGAAAATGAGGACCTAATGTCGGGGGTTTAAATGGAGAGAAAATGTTTTGAGAAACGATGTACAAATGCGCTTTACACAATTGATGTGTGTATGGATTGGGATAACAGTTGTATGAGCCCCTAATAAAATGTTAAAAAAAAAAAAAGAGTATTTGATGCATGAAAACCAAGATAGATAACCCTGAGGAACAATAGCAGGAGTAATGATTCCCTGAGGGTACGGGAAGGGGGGGCAGGGGGAACTGACAGCAATGATAACTTACTGTGTCACCCCACAAGAGGGGAATGAATAACAGAATTGCAGGAGAACAGATACAGTGGATGGTGTAAGATATGGCAATAATAATAATGGTAAAAAAATAATAATAATAATGGTTCCTCGGGGGGTGGGGTGGGGGGTGGAGGAAATGAAGGGAAGCTGATATCGAGAAGTTCAAGAAAAGAGAAAATGTTTTGAAACTGATAGTGGTAGCAATTACAAAATTATGCTTGATCTAACTGAATTGTGGATTGTTATAATATCTGTAAGAGCTCCCAATAAAATTACTAAAAAAAGAATGCGTATGATAGGAGAAAATGTTCTGAAATTGATCTTTTCAGTATGATCGAATGATTAAATTGTAAGACATGTGAAATATATGCCAATAAGACGCTTTTTGAAAATTAAGTAACCTCAGACCGGCAGCTTCAGTCGGGCAGAGGATAAACTGGTCAGGGGGCTTTGCTGAGGAGGCTGCGAGCCACAGGCAGGCCCACTGGCGTTGGAATCAGGGGCTGCGCATCGTGAGAGGAGAGTCCACATCCTCCAGATCACTGCCTTTCGGATTCCCAGTTTTCCACATTTCCAAGTGAAGACAGATCCACCCACCCTTCAGTTCCCAAACACCCTCTGACGTCTGCACAGGCATTTGGGGTATAATCCACAGCCCCAAACCCACAACCTCGCACAGCATTGGTGAAATGACCTGTGTCCAACCAGATGCTTGCACCAGTGTTGCCATGGTAACTTAGATTTGAAAGAGAAGATCTCAGCCCAACCCCTATGGCCTCATTGCTAATCTCTCTCACAGCCAAAACCCTCACCCCACCACCACCTCAGAGACTGAGGGACAGACAGGGAAGCACTGGGCCTTTCTGCGGGGTATGGGGCGGGAGGGGGGTGGTGTTTGAGCACCTACAGAGTCACATTGCTGACTTCGGCCACTACCCCCCACCCCTGCTGTTCACACACCCACCTGCAGCAGACCCTCTCTAGGCGCTCAGAAAGGTGAGGGGGCTTCACATAGTTTGTGAGAAATAGGCATGTTACCAGGATGGGATTTTCCCACCACCTTTTCACAGTCCCCTCCTATGTGGTCTTCCGAATTCTCGACCTCACCCAGAGAAGCGGAGGTGAGAACACACCTTCCCAGGGGCAGCGGGGCTGCGCATTTAATGAGGAAAACGGTACTTCTGGGACTGAGGTGGGAGAGCAATTCCTGCCAAAGAAAGAAAAGACGGGCCAAGAGAAGCAGCCGCACTGAGAGAAATCTAAAAACCCGGTCTTGTGGCTTTTCAACAAAAACCCGCCTCAGCTCGGCCTCTGGGGTCAGGCGACTAAGAGGTCAGAACTTGGAGGGCCAAGCAGAGAAAACTCCCCAGAAACATGCCGCCTCCTGCTCACAAAATGTCCCGTCCAAGGGGTCGTGGAGGGGGAGGCCCTGGGGGGGAGAGAGCAGAGGGAGCCAGAGGAAAAATGACTCACTGCTCTGAGAACACCCTTTTCCAGGCCGCTGGCCAAGCAGCTGGCTTGGCCTGCTGGGGTTGGGGCTCACCCTCCGAGTCCACAAGGAGGCACGTTTGCCGAAGCAAGCTGTGCCCCCAAATGATATCCCCCCCAGGGCCTTGCCTGGGCTGCTTCTGAAACCTGAGGTCTTCTGGGTCTTCACACCCATCCGGGAGCTCAGCAAGGCCCGAGCAAGCTGGAGCCCCCCTCCCCTCTCCTCCGCGAGGTGGCTGCTTTTCGAGTCCCGGAAGGAAAAAGAACCACAAAGCCAGCAGAACCCAGTCTGAACACAGCTGGCTGCCACCAAGATTCAGATCGGCTTCATGTCACCGTCAGGGGGAAAAGTAAATATCGAAGAATAAACAAGCGTCCAAATGTCTACTCTCCGGGGTCTACCTAACCCAAGTAACCTGAGAGAGCAGGCAGGAACCGTGGGGGCCACAGTGGGGAGGAGGTGAGAACGGACGCACAGCTTGAGAAATGTCATTCACATCGCCGTTGGTCACTGTGGCTTTCTGAGACCGGACGCTTAATAGGAGTGGAAAGCCGCATCTTTCTCCCAGAGCAGTTGGTGGTCTCAAACTGCTGACCCTGCGGTTAGTAGCCCAACATGTAACGCATTATGCTTGCAAGGCACCTGCATGTATCTCTGTCGGTGTCTTGGGCTCTACCTACAGCTACTCTAACCCAACGAGTGGAAACCAGTCCTGACACGAAGCACCCCTGTTCAAGGTGTTTCCCTGAACTAGGTTTCCACTGCGCAGTGCATTTCGGGTTTTAAAAACTATGAAGTCTGACATCCCAGGGCCGTCGGTCCAGGGAAATAAGATGCCCTTTCATCCTGTTTTCTCTGGGGGGAGGGGTTGCTGGGTTTGCCCTCTTTGGACAATGACTAGCAGCTCAAAGCGGATTCCAAGGGGAGAGAAATTGTTGGCTGCTCTGTCCACACTCCCAGAACTCTCCTGGTCTAGGGGCCGAGAGCAACACCTAAATCAAACATCAAAACAAAACTGGATGTTTCTAGTGGGAGGGACTGGGGGGGAACACTTTGCTATATTTTTATGTTTTGTAGTTTTCTGTATTGTCCTCTTGGGGGTGGGGAGAATCTCTGGGTTTAATTTAAAAAAAAAAATCAATGCATTACTTGGTAATGGTAAAGGTGAAATGGTAAGGGTTTAGAAAGGGGACACATTTGTAATGTACTCGTTCATTCTCTCCGCCAGTATTTATTAAAGCACTTAGCATCTGCTCCCATACTTTCAGCCTCAGAAAGCCTGCACAGGTTCACGATGAGTCGGAACGGTCTAGATGGCAGTGGGGCTGGGCCCGATGCCTGCTCACATGCCACTCAGGTTCTGTGGGAGAGACAGACAACAGAGCATGCTCGTGGGAGCAACAAAACACAAATGGGGTGGGGGCTGGGAGGAGCAAGTCTCTGGGGGTGGGTGGTCGGCAAGGAGGGCAGAGGTGTGGATGCCAAGGAGGAACTAGTCCTGGGATGTCGGAAGGCTGAGTCCTTAAGCAGAGAAATGCAACCGGACAAAGCCCCGGATCAGGAAGGGTCAGGAGGGTCGGAGCGGCATTGCTGGGCCAGACCTGGGGGTGTGGCGTGAGCCGAGATGAATGAGATCCGCGAGCGGGCAAGGCTCGGGTCACGGGAGAAAGGAAGGAGAAGTGATCGTGCCACTGATGGAAGCCTGGTAGCAGGGGATTGGGAAGGCATGATTTGGTTCGTGTTTTGAGCAGATCCATCTGCCGGAGCAGGAGATGGACAGGGGTGAGGATGGGCAGACATGCGTGGAAACTTCTGGAAGGAAGGTATCCTGCGGCCCAGGCAGTGGTTGGATGCAGGCTTTCTCATAGTCGGCACCGCTGACATGCCAGTGGATGACTGAGTCCCTCAGATGGGGGCTGTCCTGTGCCCTGCAGGGTGTTTGCAGCATCCCTGACCTCTACCTACGAGATGCCAGCGACCCACTGCCGAGTGTCCTCTGGGAGGGAACTCGCCCCGGCTTGAAAACCAATGACCTAGGGGTCTCCATGAGGGTGGAGGCAGGCCGTGTTGGTGCAGCGTGTGAGAAAAAGAGAGGCGGCAAGAATTCATGGCACAACATTAAAGTGCAATTGCTCTTTTCTTTGTGCCCCCCACCCCCCACCCCAGTTGCCCTCTTTTCTTCCTCATTAACTCTCCTCAGAACCGTCCAGATGGAGAGGACGGACACAGGAAGTAAGCAGCGCTGTCAGGTGTTGGGGCTGCTGGCCCATTCGTTTCATGGGCCCGGAGTGTCCATTGGTTGTTAAAGGCGGTGAGTGGGGCCCCAGCTCTGACCATCAAAACAAACCTAGAGAGACGGCCGCTGCACTGAGAGTTTCCAAAGGACCTGGCAGGAGAGGGGGCGGGACATGGAAGGCAAACAACAGTGAGTTCAAGGAAGAAGAAACGTCCTGGAATTGATGGTGTGATGACCACACAAAGCTTCCGAAAGTGAGGGAACTAGTAAAATGTATGCTATGTGAACCGTATGTCGGGGAAGCTGTTAAAAATCAACTCATAGAAAGGGAAAAAAACCTAAACACAAAACTGTGACTAGCTTTCCCAAGAAGAATGCTGTACAGTCTCAAACTCATTAGCACCATCATCTTCGAGCCCTTGAACGACTCAGGAAAACATGTCCCATTCTGGAAAGGGCTATGAAGTCCCTGGGCTCAGTGGCCCCAAAGCGGGTCTCAATGTGTCACGCCCGGGCTGAGATGGAAAGGCTAAGTGTGATTCAGAGATGAGGCAACGCTTCTCCTGACAGCCAGGTAAAATGCTGCCTGCAGGCTTCTCCGCCCCAGCGCAGGGCAGAGCATCTGGAGGTGCGCAGAAGGCCAGGTGGCAGGGTCAAGTCTGCAAATCCAGAAGTACCTACACTTTCTGGTGCCAGGACATGCACCGCACAAAGCAGGGGGCCCTGTTCACACCGACCACAGTGTGTCTGTCCCTGGGACCATGTGGCCGGGAGCCGTCTGAGCAGTGAGGAAGCGTCAATTTCCTAGTGTTCTGTTTCAGAAAACAGTGCTGCGAGTCAATGTCTGCGGTTCCTGGGGGCCCTGGAGTTGCCCAGGCCCAAGCCATTCTCAACCCTGTCAAGCTTGTTGCAGCAACTGTTCATACACCTCACCAACTGTTCACACACCCCCTCTTTTCTGCCGCCCCTCCGCTTTACCAAACACCATGCCCTTCTCCGGGGACTGGTCCCTCCCGATCACATGGCCACGGTATGTGAGATGAAGTCTCACCATCCTCGCTTCTAAGGAGCACTCAGACTGTATTTCTGCCAAGACAGGTCTGCCGGGTCTCCTGGCAGTCCGTGTAGTTCCCCTATTCTTCACCAGAGTCATCATCATTCAAAGCCGTCAATTCGACAGCAACAGGGAGACAAGCAATGAAGAACGGGACCCGGGGGCTCCCGCTTCAAGACTATGAACTTCGCGGTCAGTTCTGCAGATAGAATGCCTTCTGATGTGAATCCCTTCCTTGTCACTGAAGGAAGCAAGGGCAAAGGAAGCCAGGGGCTTGTGGAAGGCAGGGAAGGAACTCTCAAGAAGACCACGGGGCTGCTGCATCTTGTAAGCCCCGGGCCTCGGTTTCTGACAGGCTGATGCTAGCTCCTGAGAAAGAGACTAGGTTGTAGACAGGTGTTACACCCAGGGGAGGCAGGTACTAATTAAACACGTCTAAGTTACCCTTCGTCTGCCAGTTTGTCAGATTGTGGGGGTTTGTGTGTTGATGGAAGCCATGCCACTGGTTATTTCGAAATCTGGCATGGTCACTTGGGGTGGGCTAGTTTCAGTGGAGCTTCCAGACGAAGACAGACTAGGAAGAAAGGCCTGGTGATCTATGTCCAAAAATCAGCCGATGACAACCCTATGGGTCTGAGACAGTGCTGGAGGATGAGCCTCCTGGGCTGAAAGGAGCTCAGAATACACAGTGGCTGGAACAGCAGACGCTGGTGCACCAACGATGGGGAAGATGGCGCAGCGCTTTGTTCTGGGGCACAAAGCTCCCAACGAGCTGGTTCTTGTTACGACGACTCCCGAAGGGCTGCTCACATTCCTCTCTACAAAGGAATTTTGTTGTCTCAAAGGTTGCACGAAATAAGAGTCCTATTGTGTAGAGGTGGGAAGTAGGTAAACTGTCTGGTCCTGGAGAAGTTGTGGGGACTGGCACTGGCTCTCACAGAACTGGATGCGTGGACGGTGGCAGAGGCTGGCCTAGCCCCTGAGAGGCAAACGCACTCAGCCTGATAGTGTGCTGCCCTGGGAACCAGACCCCGCAATCCAGGGCCTACACCTGCCACTGCCAAACCACGTGACCATGGGCACATTGCTGAACCAGAGCTTGGTCTCCTCAACCCAAAACGTGGGCACCAGAATACATAACATTTGTAGAAACAGTAACAAACTGGCATGTAGCTAGATTAACAACATCATTATTGCACGGTGACATGACAATTCTAACAAGGGACTGCTGTAGTTATACAATGGCATCCGTCCCCTTTTCCCCTCTCTCCATAACACTACGGGGACACAAACAGCGTCCGTTCTAGGACACCACCCTCCAAGTTTACTTCCAGCTCCTTACCCTTCCTAGCCTCTGACAGAGCCTTAGAGTGGTGCATCTGGTTATTACAGGTTCGGGCTCACCCAGAGTTGCCTCGGGAAAAAGGCCTGGCAATCTGACTCCCAAAAGTCTGCTTGAAAACCCCATGGAACCAGTTCTAGTCTGACACACGCGGGACCCCATGGGGCAAAGCTGATGCCAAGGCAACTGTTTTGTAGACCTGTCTCAAGCCATTTGGATTAGCAATCCAGGAAGAATCAGTGATGTCTCAGAGCCCAGCCTCAAGCCCCGGGATTTGGGACTTCGGGAGACCACTCACCGTCACCACCACGTAGAAGCACCATATCACAGAGCTGAGATGAAAGACAACCAGCTGTCCAGATTCATTGAACTTGCTGTGCTTGACCTTGGAGAGATGAAGCCGTTTGCTGATTTTCTAGAGGAAAAGGAAAACCCCACCTATGAATATACCAAGGTAGAGATCACGGACAGGTTCTGAAACCTGCTTCTTCCTCTGGGCAGTGCTGGCGGCTGTTAGACATTTCTAAGCCTCCCAGTCATACAGAATGCTCAACTTAGCCAGTGTTTTAGAGAGTGGCGTGATGGATGCCTGCAGCCTCCACATGGAGCAAGCAGTGCTGACAGGTGAGGGCCACAGACCTGCAAGGACACCGGCTTGTGGAATTTCTCGCCTGCATCTCTGGGCTGATGAAACAGGGCTATGATAGGAGCCGGAGACCAAGGCGTGGAGAGGGAAGGTAGTTGATGGAGCCAGCGTCACCTGCAGCCTCGGGTCACTTCTGACTCAAAGGAACTCTCTTTGAGTGGAAGGGTAGAACTGCCCCAGGAGGTTCCAGAGACACCTAGTGGATCTGACCACCAACCTCTGGGATAGCAGTCAAGTGAGTAATGCCTGTGCCACCAGTGCTGCTGACATTGGGGGGGCACGGCGAATGGATTCACACTCGTAGTTTCCTCCCAGAAGAGGGGCTCCAACCAGGTACCCTTCCCCGGCGTCTGAGCTCCAAATTCATGCAGACCCACTGCTTACATCTAGAATGTACTCCTGGACCACGGCGTGCAAGATGATGGTGATGAAGATGTAGAACAGTATTGTGACGAGGTCCTTCGGCCCGTAGTGGTAGTGCATGGTCTCGCTATCTGCAGAGGAACAAGAACAACCATGTCAGCCTTCCGGCCGTGGGTCCCCTAAGGCTTGGGAAAATGCCCCGGGCTCACACGGCATCCAAATCCCGAGCATAGCCTTGGCCCGTCTTGTAGCAAACTGAAACCTCGTCCAAAGCAGAAGGTGTCACCAAATGCTACCCGTGTGCGGCGACCTCAGACTTAGAAGGAAGAGTTTTGGCTCCAGCTTCCTCCTCTACCCCTGCGCTTGCACCTTGGGAAGAGCCAGTGGCAGGAGTTAAGAAAACCAACCGCTGTGTTGTATTGTGCTGATGTCGTATCCTGCTGAGAGTCTGAGAGGATGGCACGGTGGACAGGAGCCACGTGCTAGAGATGACCAATCTCCACCAAGGGACCCATTGCTTCCTGCCTCAGTGACCATGCAGCTCTGTGAGCCGCAATTTCCTCTCCTGTAAAATGGGAGGAGAACAACAACTGCGTGCCATCTTCCGATGTGACCCCGCGCCTGCTTCCTTGGCGGTGAGACGAGGCTGCCAGCAATTCCTACTTCACAGAGCTCCTGGGAGACTAGATGCGTGGGGAAACGTGGAGTGCTTAGAAGAGCCTGGCACCTGGCTGCCACCGGGGGGTACTAAGTCCAGCGTGGCTCGTGGCAACCCCCTGCACAATGAAATGAATCCCTGCCCTGTCTTGCGCCAGCCCCACAATTGCCTGTGGCTAGGACCACTGTGAAACACAGTCATAATAGGTTTGCTACTGTGAAAGGGTCGTTCGACACCCAAAGGGGTCACGATCCACAGGCTGAGAACCGCTACTCCAAAGCAAAGCTGAACAGGCAAGGGGGTTGGGAAGCCAAGGCCTCTGTGGGGGGCGGTGGGGGGCAGCACACATTCAGAGGGTATTACTGAAGAATGAAGCCCTTGCCTCTCTCTGCAAAATGTGTGTGGTGATGGTCAGTGGGACCCTAATTTGCTGTATACACTTTCACCCAAAACACCATAACATTTCATTTAAAATACATAAAATAAAAAATAAAATGAGTTATAATAGGTTACTACCAAACAATTGCCCCCCCACACCCTTTTTTTGTTTTTTGAGAGCCCAAGGCAGTCCTTGAAGAATAAGTGCCTAGACTTGGGTAGTGAGAGGATTTCTATAAGAAACAAAGTCTAAATTCGGGCCCCTAGATCCCTCCCTGGATCATGGTGGCCTGTGACCCGGGGCCCTCAGCCAGGGGTGGGGAGCCTTTTTTCTGCCAAGGGCCATTTGGATCTTTATGATGTCATTCGTGGGCCACACTGGCCAAACATCTCATTAACTCACTCCTAGCGTGTGTTGGCTGGAACTGCTTCTCTTTGCTGAGGTGGGCCATGTTAGCTGGTGTCTTTCGTGGACGCTATATGGCCCCTGGGGGGCATGTACCCCACCCTGCCTGAGGCAGTCTCTTGCCTCCAGGCATGCTACTGTTGACTGCTGCCAGACTAAACCTTGTAAAATAAGTCATCACTGTGCCGTTTAATCGGACATTTCCGGTTACTTTCCCTTTGCCTTCAGGGTAACGTTTAAGCTCTTTCCCAAGACACAGGACATTCACTGTTGTGGATGTGTCTACTCAGCTCCCCAACCCTCCAGCCGGCATCCCAGGCGTCCGCTGCAGGCGCCACTTCCTCTGCCCAGGGTGCCCAGCCCCACTGGCCCTTTCGCCTGACTATCTCGAACGCAACTGTGAGTCGATTCCAAAACGGGACGACACCCTAGTGTCCACATAGGGCTGTGCCCCACAGGTAGATTGCTGGGCCTGCTTTGCAAGGGAACTCTGCATGGACCGGAACCCCCTCATCTGATGGCCCTCCTAGTTCCAGGTTTCAGCATCATCCAGCCCAGCTGGAGACAGGCCCTCCGTTGCCTTGGCTTGCGTGTACCTCTCTGTGTTGTAATGTCATGTCTGTCTGTCGATCTCTCTGCGGGTGTGAGCACTCTGAGCCTGGGCAGTGCCTCCTATATATCACCACACTGCACCAGTGAGCCCAGCACCTCTCACAGAGCAAGGCTTTGTCGGAGGGAGGGGCAAGGGGGAGCCTGTCTAATTTCAAAGTTCAGCATGTTCTCACCGCGCTCGCCACCTCCCGGTACCCCTCACCACCGCCCACCAGCACGGTCTCCCAGTCCCAAAGGGACCCAGTCAGTCAGCTGTGCTCTTGTGTCGGTCACCCGGAAACAGACTGACTCTGGCCTACCTTCTGGTAAGCACAGCAAAGCGAGATGACTCATGTGTGTGTGACTCAGGGCAAGTGCGCCACAGCTGGAAGGAGACTGCTGTTTGGGGGATGGTGGGCGGACAGCAGAGAGCCAGGCAAGCATTCCCCAGCCGCCTCCAACCCTGCAGCTGCTGGCTGCGAGGCCGCTGGGAGAAGGAGAGGCTGCAGTGGCACAGCTCCCCGGCGCTTGCATATCCGGGATCCTGTCTAATGTATTACTATTAGAGAGCATTTAAACAATACGATTTGATAGCCACCATTTATGGCATGCTGACCATAGATGATGGGAGTAAGCATCTTGCAGACAATGATCTCACTTAGTACCCACCATAGCCCGGCAATAGCAACACAAACCGAAGCAAACGCGCACTTGCGCTGTGCCACAGTGGGAGACCCCGCTCGGCTGTCACCAGTCTGCACCCTAAGCAGGTGTGTCCCTCTGACGCTGAAGCCGTCACCAGTCTGCATCCTAAGCAGGTGTGTCCCTCTGACGCTGAAAATTCAGCTGTGTTTCTAGGCTATCATGGGCTACGAAGAAAGACCTGGTGACCTTGTAGACGTGAGCCCATGGAAGCCCTGTGTAGTGCAAAAACAATGTTATGGCTGGGGGGGTCACCACAACATGAGGAAGTGTATGAAAGGGTCAGGCATTAGGAAGGTTGAGACCTGCTGCTTTAGAGTATTTGTTCTTCACATCCACAAAGAGATATGCCTGCTCTTTTAAGCCATGGTCACCCTCTTGACTGATCGTGCGTGTCTCCCTTGTCAGAAGGAATGAGTTTAAGGAGTAGGCACTGGTCCAACTCGGCTGTGTGGCAGTCGACAGACAGGTCCAGTGCCTGGAACACACTAGCGGGGAGAGAAGCGGACACTCGGCAATGGCAGAGCCTCTGCCCCATCAAAAGGTGGGAGAGAGTGGTGATGGCAGAGGTGCCTGGCACGGCCCGGTTCCTAGTTTTCCAACAGCACAGGGACAGATCTTCACATGAAGTCATCTGATCGGGTGACTAATGTGCAAAACTTTAAAACACTGTGTGGGTTGCCACCAACCTTGCCAAACAAAACATATCTGCAGGCCAGCTCTGACCAGAGGCCATGATGCAAGCCAGTGACCCACATGGCCCCTGACACCTTGCCCACAGCAGTACGGACAATGCCAGTGTGCTCTGCTGTAGGGATTCATCTAGCTTTGAAGGAAGATGCCCCAGGCAATATTCTTCCCATCACAGGTGAGCCATCCCACCTCGAATCAGGAGGGATCCCTGTTTTGCTCTCTTTGAGCACAGTTAACCAGTTGCCCGAGGTCGATTCTGACTTGGACAGTGTGCAAGTAGAACTGGGCTTCAAAGGGTTTTTAATTTAATGGCTGGCTTTTTTTTTTCCCAGAAGTAGATCACCAGGGCCTTCTTCCGAGGGCTTCCTGGGTAGGCACAGACGGCTAGCTTTTTAAGGAGCAGCAGAGGGTTCACGGCACACACCCCCTCCCCCAGGGGCTCTCTCTCACAGGAAAGGAGCTGGAATGTTCATTGAGAGTCCTGGCTGCTTTTGATAAATGATGTTTGCAGTTGTCCCATTTGGAGAGTGACATTCTCTGTGGACCGCTGTTTGCTTTCCAGCATCTTCCTGTTTCCTCGTGGGTGTCACCTGGAGGTGACTTCTCCGGCTCGCCTAAACAGCCTAGTCTTGTCTAGATAGCCAGGCACCGTCTGTGACCTGTCCCTGTGGCCTGAGCTGGTGTCCGCTTGTTGCTGCTGTCGAATCTGCGCCTCAGATCTCGTGGGAGTCTGGGCCTCTGCCAGGTGAGCTTGTTCTTTTGTCCTGAACACCGGCTGCTGAAAGAGCATCTCTGGACTCCGCTCCTTCAGTGTGGCTCCTCTCCAATCTTTCTTCTGAGATCTGCGAATCTGGGTCTGTAAAACTGACTCTCAGTTGTTTCTGTGCTCGCTGCCAACAGTGTTTCCCCGTCTTTAGAATCTTTCACACTATACCGTAGAAACCTGGACCTAGTACGTGAATGAACCATCAGACACCAAGTTACAGAGGCAGCTGAGCTCCTGCAGAAAAGATTTACATCCAGAGGACAGGGAGGGGCTAGCCTCGTGGGGATGAGCAGGGTCGGAGAACGTGAGGAAGGTGAGTAAAGGGTGTGAGCAGAACAATTTAGAGGGAAACTAGAACAGATGGCTCTTACGCGCTTTAAAAAAATGCAAACTACAGTTACGCTGAGATTCTGTTTCACACCTATCAGATTGGCAAAAACCCACGCTCAACAATACGACAATACGATGCACTCTTGCCCAGGCTCTGGGGAAGCCAGCTCTCTCGTGCCCTCCTGGCAGGAGTGCAAAATGGTGCCCATTGTGGAGGGCAACTTGCTAAGTTATCCAGCACTGCTGTGACAGAGCTACCACAAGCGGATGGCTTTCACAGACAGGCATGTCTTTTCTCACAGGTCAGGAGGCTAGACAACTGAACTTGGGCTGCTCGCTCTCATAGAAGGCTTTCTCTCAGGGTTGGCTCTGAGGGGTGGCCCTTGGCTCTGTCTCTTCATCTGCGGCTTGCACGGTTCTTGGAGATCTTCTTGTGGCCTGCTGTCTATCTTTCTCCATCTCTAGCTGCTTATTTGCCTCAAATTAATTTTTATATCTCAAAAGGGATTGACTCAACATATACTAATCCTGCATCACTGACATAACAAGGAGAACCCATTCCCAAATGGAATTATCACCATAGGCTTGGGCCTATGGGGGGTGGGGG